TCGGTTATTTATTTTGGTCTTGTTCTTTTTGTTTGTTGTTGTTTTTTTGAGATGTGGATTTTGTTTTTTTTTGGATCTGTTTGGGGTTGTTCATGTAGCGGGCTGCAAGCATGCTTTTGGCTGTGGTCAGCCTGTTACAGCGGGGTTGCAACCCAACGAGTCAACAGGCACCAAGCTCCGTTGCAGGATGGGCGATATTCCACCCAGGGGGTTGGCACCAGGGATTTGTGGCAAGCGCTCAGTTGAAACATGCCGAAGCAGGCAAGAAAACCGACCTGTTTGGTCCCCCAAAAAACGAAGCACCAGGGTCTGGTTGTTTCACCAAATGTGCAAAATCCGCCAAACGAATGGGTGGTTTTGCTTTCGATTTCCCGGATCCACGAGCCGAGCCGCAAAAGGCTTGGCTGACTTCCGGAGTTACTTTGGTGACCAGTTTTGCTGGCAAACAAGATTTGGCCTTGTTTTCTTTAAGGGCCTCCCCCCTAAAATTGTGAATTTTGGTGTCTTTCCCTTTCATGTTCTTTTCTTTTACTTTTTATATGGTTCATTTATATTTTCTATAGTTTCCCTTCAAAGCACCGACCACAAACACGGAGTACTAAATTTCAGAAGACCCCCCCGGTCAGCTTCTGGCCGACGCAGGAGTCTTGGCTCGGTGACTCCGTCAGGTGCTCGGACGGCGTGGTGCAAACCTGGCGTCAGCAGCACCTCAGAGAAGGCGAGGCGGCCCGCCCCGCCCGGAGGCTCAGCGAAAGGCAGGGTTCGTTCCGTGGTTTTTGACGAGGGTCCGGAGCCGGTGCCCTTTCTCACCTTTTTTTTCTGGGAGGGTTCGGGACACAATAGACTACAGAAAGAAAGGTTGAGGTACTATTCAGTTGACCGAAACCCAAGGGCAACCGTTTTTTGGGGGAATCAACTTCAAGTCTGGGGTAGTCAAAAAACATTGGAGCCCAGCTCAGTTTCCCACTCGTCTGGGCTTGGGAGACCGGTGGTTTGGAGTCCGACCCCCCAGCCTTTCCTCTCAGATCCTGAAAGTCAGCGAGGCTTGCTAGACGAGCCGTGCAACTGCTGCGAAGAGTTGAGAAATCTCCTTTGGGTCAAAAGTGGTTTGCAGCGAGCTCAGTGGCAGCCACACTGGTGACCCCCTTTTTCAGGCTTCCCAGGGTGGCTGAACGTTTTTTTTTTGTTTTTCCTCCGCGCAGTTTTTTGCACCAATCGACCCCAGAGTTGCCGTCGGGGTCAAAATAATTCGGAGCACCCCTGGAGACAAGTTGCAGAAGGACCACCCCGATTCTGTTGGGCCAACTACAGTGTTTTAGTGGGAAAAGGTCAAAACCAAACAAATCGGCTTTGACTTGTTCAGCTTGCACCTTGCATGAAGCTCAGTAGGACATCCTTTTGGATCATGTATCCAAACATGTATGACGTACATCAACTAAGATGGCACCTGACCAGAGGGTCTTAGAAGCCCATGTTTCCTTCGAAGGGGCCTTTCTCCTGGAGGACCTTTCTCCTCCTGGGGTTTACTACGGATGGTCATAGTGCAATGATTGGGGACATCAGGCTCACAGGACAAGGTGTCCCCCTTAACATGCCTGGTCCATCTCAAATTCCGTTTAGCCCGTTCGGAAACCAATGGGCGTGTCTTTCTTTAACAGAGAACCCCTTGTTGTGTCGTTTGTAACGGGGCAATAAAAGTAAGACGCGACCTTAAGCAGAAAAGTACCTAGCCAACTGGCATGTCCACAAAAAACCTACCATTTATCGCCGAAAAGGAAAGCAACCTTTGAACAAAAGTACCTAGCCAACTGGCGTTTCCACAACAAACCTACCATTTATCGCCCAAAAGGAAAACAACATTTGAACAACAGTACCTAGCCAACTGGCGTTTCCACAACAAACCTACCATTTATCGACCCAAAGGAAAACAACCTTTGAACAAAAGTTCCTAGCCAACTGGCGTTTCCACAACAAACCTACCATTTATCGCCCCAAAGGAAAACAACCTTTGAACAAAAGTTCCTTGCCAACTGGCGTTTCCACACAAAACCTACCATGTATCGCCCAAAAGGAAAACGACCTTTGAACAGCAGTACCTAGCCAACTGGCGATTCCACAAAAAACCTACCATTTATCGACCAAAAGGAAAACAACCTTTGAACAAAAGTTCCTAGCCAACTGGCGCTTCCACAACAAACCTACCATTTATCGCCCCAAAGGAAAACAACCTTTGAACAACAGTTCCTAGCCAACTGGCGTTTCCACAAAAATCCTACCATGTATCGCCCAAAAGGAAAACGACCTTTGAACAGCAGTACCTAGCCAACTGGCGATTCCACAAAAAACCTACCATTTATCGCAAAAAAGGAAAACGACCTTTGAACAGCAGTACCTAGCCAACTGGCGATTCCACAAAAAACCTACCATGTATCGCCCAAAAGGAAAACGACCTTTGAACAGCAGTACCTAGCCAACTTCCACAAAAAACCTACCATGTATCGCCCAAAAGGAAAACGACCTTTGAACAAAAGTTCCTAGCCAACTTTCCACAACAAACCTACCATTTATCGCCCCAAAGGAAAACAACCTTTGAACAACAGTTCCTAGCCAACTGGCGTTTCCACAACAAACCTACCATTTATCGCCCCAAAGGAAAACAACCTTTGAACAACAGTTCCTAGCCAACTGGCGTTTCCACAAAAAACCTACCATGTATCGCCCAAAAGGAAAACGACCTTTGAACAGCAGTTCCTAGCCAACTGGCGATTCCACAAAAAACCTACCATTTATCGCCCAAAAGGAAAACGACCTTTGAACAGCAGTACCTAGCCAACTGGCGATTCCACAAAAAACCTACCATTTATCGACCAAAAGGAAAACAACCTTTGAACAAAAGTTCCTAGCCAACTGGCGCTTCCACAACAAACCTACCATTTATCGCCCCAAAGGAAAACAACCTTTGAACAACAGTTCCTAGCCAACTGGCGTTTCCACAAAAAACCTACCATGTATCGCCCAAAAGGAAAACGACCTTTGAACAGCAGTACCTAGCCAACTGGCGATTCCACAAAAAACCTACCATGTATCGCCCAAAAGGAAAACGACCTTTGAACAAAAGTTCCTAGCCAACTGGCGCTTCCACAACAAACCTACCATTTATCGCCCCAAAGGAAAACAACCTTTGAACAACAGTTCCTAGCCAACTGGCGTTTCCACAAAAAACCTACCATGTATCGCCCAAAAGGAAAACGACCTTTGAACAGCAGTTCCTAGCCAACTGGCGATTCCACAAAAAACCTACCATTTATCGCCCAAAAGGAAAACGACCTTTGAACAGCAGTACCTAGCCAACTGGCGATTCCACAAAAAACCTACCATGTATCGCCCAAAAGGAAAACGACCTTTGAACAGCAGTACCCAGCCAACTGGCGATTCCACAAAAAACCTACCATTTATCGACCAAAAGGAAAACAACCTTTGAACAAAAGTTCCTAGCCAACTGGCGCTTCCACAACAAACCTACCATTTATCGCCCCAAAGGAAAACAACCTTTGAACAACAGTTCCTAGCCAACTGGCGTTTCCACAAAAAACCTACCATGTATCGCCCAAAAGGAAAACGACCTTTGAACAGCAGTACCTAGCCAACTGGCGATTCCACAAAAAACCTACCATGTATCGCCCAAAAGGAAAACGACCTTTGAACAAAAGTTCCTAGCCAACTGGCGCTTCCACAACAAACCTACCATTTATCGCCCCAAAGGAAAACAACCTTTGAACAACAGTTCCTAGCCAACTGCCGTTTTCACAAACTTACCATTTATCGCCCAAAAGGAAAACGACCTTTGAACAAAAGTACCTAGCCAACTGGCGTTTTCACAAACCTACCATTTATCGCCGAAAAGGAAAACGACCTTTGAACAGCAGTACCTAGCCAACTGGCGTTTCCACAAAAAACCTACCATTTATCGCCCAAAAGGAAAACGACCTTTGAACAAAACTACCTAGCCAACTGGCGTTTCCACAAACCTACCATTTATCGCCGAAAAGGAAAACGACCTTTGAACAAAAGTACCTAGCCAACTGGCGTTTTCACAAACCTGCCATTTATCGCCGAAAAGGAAAACGACCTTTGAACAAAAGTTCCTAGCCAACTGCCGTTTTCACAAACCTGCCATTTATCGCCGAAAAGGAAAACGACCTTTGAACAAAAGTTCCTAGCCAACTGGCGTTTTCACAAACCTGCCATTTATCGCCGAAAAGGAAAACGACCTTTGAACAGCAGTACCTAGCCAACTGGCGATTCCACAAAAAACCTACCATGTATCGCCCAAAAGGAAAACGACCTTTGAACAGCAGTACCCAGCCAACTGGCGATTCCACAAAAAACCTACCATTTATCGACCAAAAGGAAAACAACCTTTGAACAAAAGTTCCTAGCCAACTGGCGCTTCCACAACAAACCTACCATTTATCGCCCCAAAGGAAAACAACCTTTGAACAACAGTTCCTAGCCAACTGGCGTTTCCACCAAAAACCTACCATGTATCGCCGAAAAGGAAAACGACCTTTGAACAGCAGTACCTAGCCAACTGGCGATTCCACAAAAAACCTACCATGTATCGCCCAAAAGGAAAACGACCTTTGAACAAAAGTTCCTAGCCAACTGGCGCTTCCACAACAAACCTACCATTTATCGCCCCAAAGGAAAACAACCTTTGAACAACAGTTCCTAGCCAACTGCCGTTTTCACAAACCTGCCATTTATCGCCCAAAAGGAAAACGACCTTTGAACAAAAGTTCCTAGCCAACTGCCGTTTTCACAAACCTGCCATTTATCGCCGAAAAGGAAAACGACCTTTGAACAAAAGTTCCTAGCCAACTGGCGTTTCCACTTCCCATTTGTCGCCCGGCTGAGTCCTCATGGCCTTTCGGCTTCCGGGAGTCGAGTCGCAAGTCGCACGTCGCAAGTCGGAGGTCCGGAAGTTGGAGGGGCACACCATGGCGGTGAACTCCATGGACCTCGTCCAGGACCCATTCGCCTCGCGAGTCGAATCCGCGAGTCGAATCGAAAGAGTCGAATCCCCGATGTGTTTGGCTCTGGGGCAGATTTTGGTCCTTGGTTCCATTTGCCAGGGTTCTATCTTGGGTTCCCATTTTTGACCCACTGCCAAATGGTTTTTGTACGCGAGCTTCGGGCCTTTTTCTGCGGCCAAATGGCTCGCCAAGTCATTTGGATCCCAGGAGGGGCTCTTCACCGGCTCCCGGGACTGCTCCGTTCAGCCGGGCGCCAAAGCGAGTAAGTTGACAGCGCCGGGAAAGGCCCACGAAGTAAATGTCCTCTTAGATCTCTTAGTGATGTTTCAAGGTGATGCATGATGGACCCGTAATTGCCCCTTGGGAAAGGAGGCTTGTCAGTTCTGTTTTATGCGAGGTTGGATCCGGAACGATGATGGATCTGAGAGTCTGAGAGTCTGGGCAAAGTGTAGCAAGCAAGCGTCGCATGATAAAGGTTCTTGGTCAATGGGTACCCTACTAGATCATTGAATTGTTATCCCAGACCTCAAGAGGTGGGTGATTGACGGTGCTTTTGTGAGTTGTTTGGCCTCGCACTCTAGCGCTGACACGATGAAGTATGTGCGATTGACGATGCCTGAGTTAATTCCAATTCGGAGATTCTGCCTCTTGACCTTCGTGAAAGGCTTTTGCTTAAATGCATAGATATAGATATCCTTCATTTCGGAACCAAGTTGTTCTCAACATCTCATGGGCCCTTGTGAATGGAGCCTTAGTTTGTCCCACTTGCATACCCCTTAGATCCCCCTTACCCCTCTGAGCGAGGGCCCCGGGCCTCAAAAGAAAGCCGCGGCGATGACAGAAATTGCCCCTGGCCGCTCCTCAAAGATCAACATGGAAGATGTGGGGCATGTGGGGTTGACCGAAAGGTCCGGTAAACGTGGGAGGACCAGGGCAACCACAAACAGAAAGATGGATCTGATTTTCACCTCGTGGGAGAAGCTTCCCATGGAAAACTCAGGGGGCCGAACTGAATATTGATCAACCCCATGTGTCAACAGTTTTGCGGCTTGGCCAAGTTCGAGCCGAGTGGGGACAAAGGGACGCCCTGTGGGTCCTAAAACCGACGGCGAGTCTTGTGGCCAATCCACTTGAGGGAAATGAGATAGGATTTGAGGCCACGAATCAAACGCCATTTGAAAAGGAGTAGTTGAATGACAATCTTTGGAAGTACCTCCCTCCCCACCTTTCTCCAATCACGACTTGAAGTCCGTCTTCGTGATTTGGCATCTTGTAGTGGAGGCGCAACCCCCCCAGAATGGCCGGGTTTCCTTTTTGGATGTCCCTATAAACTCCCCAAAAGGCGGGGCACCCTCGAATGGCACCACAGGCAAAGGCACCTTCCCGGAAATTTCGCCGAGGCTCTGGGACGTGAACACCGGCCAGCGACTCTTGCGGGTGTTGATTGCTCACTCGGGGGCTGGATGGGGCGGAAAAACATATTCGAAGCTCGCCGATTTGGACTGGGGCAACACCCAGCTCATTGAGCCTAACATCCCATAGTTGGGGATTCCTATCTTCTGATTCCTGATTTTTTGCGGGAGTCGAGAACTTGTCGGGCAAATGTGTCATGAGTTGACCGAGCCGGGGGTAGTGAGATGCTATTAAGAACTCCTGATGTCCATGTAAGTGAGTCATGCTAGTATCGTAATTTACGGACTGGATGGTTGCGTTGGCTGGGCCCCTCATATGCCCTACCCGCCTGCGCGTAGAGCGATTGCCTGGGACTCTGCATGAGACTCGTGGGAAGGGACATCAGCCGCTGGGCTTTGAACTGCGCCACCCCTGATCTCAAAGGACAGAGCTTTGTCGAACGGCCCTAGTTCAAACTGCACGGCAGTTTGCTCCACGAAGGTCTCCCGAGCCTCAAAATGAGGAAGCCTCCGTATACTTGGGGATTCCTTCATGTAGGTTGGTGAATGATCGACAATTGCAGCACTGACGTTTGCTTTCAGAATGGATGCTGCGGCGTTTTGCATGTCGTATGGACAAAAACTCCCGTGGATGCCCAAAGAAAGCGGCGCCCGAGGCAGCAAGATGGCTTCCAGGAACCTGTTGGTGTCCAGCTGATGTGAATTGATTGCTTGCTTCCAGTGGTCCACGTTCGTTATTTTGGCTACTTGACTCGGGTGAGAGCTGATTGATCCCTGGTTGCACGCCAATCCAGTTGAAGCCACCCCAAAGCAACAATGGGAACCTCAAATTCACAAACCCATACTACTGGGGGGGCGTCGCCCACCAAACTGATCCGGAACCCCACCCAAACTCAATCAGAGGTTTGTGAATTCGGGGTTAACGGTTCCCGATTTCCAAAGTGGTTCATTCCCATGACCAGTTTACCCTACAAACATTGCCTTTTCAGGCATCACGGAAATTGGCAGCCCACACCCAAACAAACCGCAAAGAAGGGGGGGTTCTTCTCAGCATGCACATCACACAGGACTGACAGCCACTGTCACGCCGCTCCGCTCGGCTCGAAAGGGGTTATAAATGCATAAGACTTATGAGCCCCCGTTGCCAGGCTGAACTGAAGACGGTAGCAGGATATATCAGGACATGTTTATTTTGCGGTCGCAAAGAAAATCCCCGACTTCCAACCCCTCGAAATTTTGGGAGAAGCTTGAGCCGACACAAGAGAACCACCGTGGCCAGCTTTGGATGTTCCAGTGTCCGTCGGGCGATTTCCCTATGGGCCGCAAGTGGAGTTTTTTGGCAACAAGAGCGCACCCAATATATGGGTATGGGTCAAAATTCAACCACCAGGATATGGACCGCAGGTTTTAGTCTACGTTTCCATTTACCAGGGCAAGCCATTTTGGGTACCTATTTTTGACCCACAGCCATATGGATAGTTCTTTTCATGTCCCATTTGTCCCAAGCATACTTGCCAGATTTTGGCATGGAACTGAAGAAGCCCTCCTTTTGGGTGACCCCTTTGTTTGGGGTTCCATGCGAATTTGAAGGGAGTACCACCCAGCACAAAGCGCACGCCTTATCTTCAGCCGATGGAGAAGGTTGCCCACAACAGCGCGGATTTGTTGGAGCTGGTGGAGACAGGCGAGGGGACCCACGCAACAAGGAAAAGGGTCTTAGTTCGAGGCCTCTGGATTATCTTCTTCCATTTGGTTAAGCATTTTTTGATTTTATTTCCCCCGTTGGTTTTAAAGGGAATCTATCACTACTGGAAATGTTGTTGTTTTTTTTTTTTTTTTTTTTTTTTTAAAAAACAAAACATGTTTTCCAGGGGACTTAAGCAAATGAAGGCTTCGGGCGAGGAGGGGGGAGTAGTTGGAGAGGGTGTAAGATGACCTATGCGGTAAGAATGGGCTGAAGGCTTGGTCAAGCCTCACTTGAGCAGGCATCACTCTCCGTGAAAGACGGGATGTCCTGCGTCCGAAGCCGCGCTTCGGCGATTGAACAGCGAAAAGCCAGTCTTGCTGATTCTCGGTGGCTTTTTGCTTGGGCTGTTTGTCATGAATCTCGGAAGACGATTCCTTTGAAGGAAGCCACGAGGGATGGTTCATGGGTCATTGAGAACTAGCATTTGTTTGGGTTCCTAATTCGTGATAAGGGTCATTGCTACACGCCTGCAGTTGCTAAAGTGTTCATATGTGTGTTTTGGGAGTTTACTTTAAGCATGAGGCAACGCAAGAGCAAAACATGGTGTCCTTCTGTCTGACCTGCTGTTTTAAGCATGAATTCATCAGTTGAGCGCCGAGACGGCCAAAACATAGCAGGTGGTTCAACCGGTGGTTGCATGGGTACCCTCCCACCAACTAACATGGAAGTGCACAAAGCCCCTTGCCAACAGGAAGGTCGTCTTTCTACCAACGTCTGTGCACTTCCATGTTAGTTGGTGGGAGGGTAAGTTTTTGGCCCATGGTGGGAAACCACCCTATCGTACCAAAGGCAATCCTCACTGCACTCATTTGTCCAACCCAAAAAGGCCGGCTCAAAAATCGGTCTGGGAGGGCAAGGCCAAACCAACAGTCGACGGGTTTCAAGGGCACTGTATCCAAACGATTCTGCCGGCTCCGACTTTTTCAGGCGCCGCCGCCGTGCGCTGCAACTTTGTGCCTGGACGGCGCTTAGGTCTTTTGATGGGTTGGCCAACAAATTATCCGGGTGCTGAATAGCCTATGATTGCTTGCATTTGCTTAAGGACATTTTTTGTTGGCTATTATTTTCTCGTGTTGCTTTTAAAGGGAATCTATCACTACTGGAAATATGTGTTTTCTCAGGGGCTTAAGCAATTGGAGGAATTCGAGTCTTCTCACGCCCAGGTTGGCCTCTTTGATTCTGCGTGTTTATGTTTTAATTGGGGCGACCAAAACACTTGGTTGCGGTCATTGTGTTCTCTTTGTGGGGGCCAAACCTTTTCTTTGTCAAACACCATTCTTCCCTATATTGTGGATTGGTATATATATATATATATATATGTGGCTGTGGCTCAACAAAAACGGTACCAAAATGGAACCCTGGCAAGTGGAAGCGTGGACCAAAACCTGCATCATCCCTCCTGTTTAACCATTCCGACTGTGACCATAAAGTCCTGTCTCCACGTACCCCCTGCTGTTGTCCACCCTTTGCCTCCAAACTATACAAACCACGTATAGTGTGCTTTTTTAGGGTGCCCCTGTTTGGGATTGGATGGACAAGATGGGCATCAAAAAGGAAACTGCCATTGCAGGGGGTCCCCTATTTTGACGCATGCCTATATACAGTTCGGTTGCCCTGTCCAGTGCCGGCCCCCAAGGGGTACATCCTTAGGCATACCCAAGCCATGGAATTTTCCGTTGGCAGGTGCCTTCATCATTTTCGTCAAGGAAGGCCTTAATAAGCCTTACTGAGAGTTAATTTTCGCAAGCCATCGGCCATGAATCATGATCCAGGGAGTTCCCTAGAGAAAAGCCCTTTTAATAACAAGCTGAGTCAGTTTTTCCAGCAGGTCCGGGGTTATATGACAAAATGATACACAGCAAGCTGCGTTTGAAACACCAGGGAGTTTGCATCCTACATCAGCGGCCTTAAGAATTAAACCGTTACAATCAAAATGTATGGTCCTAAAGCAGTCTGCCCAAAACCAGTTGAGGTTGAGGAGCAATCCCCCCACACCCTCCACACCCCCCACCCACCCCAACACAGTTTACCCCACCCCACCCCACCCCACCCTACCCCACCCCACCCCACCCCACCCCACCCCACCCAACCCCACCCCACCCCACCCCACCACCCAAGGTCTCCCTGGGTGCCGCGCTTTGCACCGAGCTCGGCAAACGCCTCGAGCAGCTGCAGAGCATCTCTGATGAACCGATGAACCGAAAGGGCCAGATGGGTGTGGCTCAAAATTCAAGAACTAGGGAACCACACCCATATGGATGAACCACACCCATAGGGTGAACCGATAGGGCCAATGGCTAGAACTAGGGTTTCGCAGGTTTGAGTCTTTGGTTCCATGTACCAAGGTGCCGTTTTGGGATTCCATTTTTTGGAGCCACTGACATATTTGTGTCTGCTTTGGCTCCTACCTGGTTTTCATTTGGGTTATATGACCAACATAGAACCTTTATAACCATGTTAGAACCCACAGTTAATTGGTGTTGGGCGTCAATTGTTTGTGTATCTCTCTGATGAAATGATGCTTCATGGTTTGTTGTGTGTGTTGTTCGTATTGTTGTTGCGTGGCTGTTTGTGTTTGCCATGGTTTCGTGTTGTTGGTTTCTGGTGAAGAATAACAATTTGACAATATTTAAATACATCATGATTTTTTGGGAGCCAAAGCTGAGGCAGATGGAACACTCACTACACGTAGTGCAAGTTGAACTTCTAGGCCATAGAACCGTCCAGTTGCTTCCTTGGACATGATCCATGGTAAATGCGTTGTGCAAATGAAAAACGAGGGGGGGGGCACCTTGAGCATAATAATTTAGAAAGGGCGTTGGCCCAACCTGGTGTGCCCCACATGTGGTAAAACATTCGTCTTCCATGATCGTGAGGCAAGATGGTTCAATAGCAGCCCAACTATTCTAGGTGATTGATTAACCAGGCTCCCGCCTGCTGCCGCCGACCCTCGGCGCATTCAGGGAAAAGTCATAAGGACCGGTCCTGAAACACGTCCGCAAACCCAGGGACCACTTATAAGATCCTCTACGACCAAACAAGGATTAACGGAAAAGTGAGAAATATGGCAGCTAGTCCGTTGATTACAGCTCGGGCCGGCTTGCGCCCAAGTCACTTCGAGTTGGCCCGGGAGAAGTCGCCTCTCCCGGGCCCTCCCGAAACTGCCCCGGGGACAGTTGCCCTGGACCGGTCGCCGGCAGGGAGCGGGACTTGGGACCCTGTCCAGGCTGGCCCCAGTCTGGCGCGGTTTGACTCGACGTATTGGACTCTCTTGCAGAATGGATCACCTCAAACCGCTCCAGACACCTGTTTCCTCCAATGTCGCTGTTTCCGGACTGGCACCCGTGTTTCAGGACCGGACAGGGTCCCAAGTCCCAGTCACTCCCCGCGACCGGTTGAAAGGCACCGACGGCCTGGTTTCTAGGACCAGCTCAACGTAACTTGGGTGCAAATCGGCCCGTGCGGTCATTGACGGACGAGCTGCCATCTGTCTGACTTTTCCAATCCTTGTGGTCGTAGAGGATCCCTGGACACCAGGTGTCTGCAGCGGTTTGAAGTGGGATCCGATACCAGCGGTCAGACCAGGACTCGATCCCGGGACCGGCTTGGACCCAGGGTCCCAGGACCAGTCCCAGGACCGGTCCCAGGACTGGCCCCAGGACTGGTCCTGGGGATTCATTATTTCCACGTTTTCCGCGCGCAGCGCCGAGCCTCCATTATTTCCTTTTTATAGGCTCCGCAAACAATCGGTTGGCTCGAAAATACGAAGCGGTTCTCGCCAACATTTTCCCTAAGCCCACAACTTGTCCCAACAGTCTCCAACCCACTTAGTGGTGCCCTTTAATTTCAAGCACCCTAAGCATCTTGGACTCTAAAAAAGGCCCCTCGAGATCCAAAATCTTCGGATGAGAAACCAGACCCCTATGCAGGGTCCTTTCTCATGCTTAAGCTACCAACAAAAAGGCTTACCTCGTTCTTTCCATAGGAAGGTGTCCCTTCCATTCCTTTTCAACCGGTCCCCTACCAACCAAACAAAATCAAAGGTTCCCTGGAAATCCACTCCAACGTCGATTCAACGGGTCTCCTACCCACCAAACAAAAAACGGGTTCCCTTTTTCTCCTGGAACATCCAACCTTTGAGATTTCTTTTCAACAGGTCCCCCACCAACCCACAAAAAAAAGAGGCTGGCTCCTTTTGGACGGGCTCCCTACCAACAACAAAGCGGGAAATCCTTTTTCTTGTGGGGAAAAAATCTGTGGGGAAAACAAGCGTCGAAGGCCTGGACTTGTGCTACTGCCAGCTGGGCGCGGAGCATTTGGACCGCTTGACGCAAAACCGAGTGCTTCAAGGCCTGGAACGCCTGGCGTCCGGGGGCCCAAGCCGAAGGATTTCTCCGGGTGTTCAAACGGAAGGCGTGCGCGGCGAAAAAAATCCCCTCAGCGGGTGGTGAAAGCTGGACCAGGGAACCAAACAAAAAGGCGGGTTTTGGGAAAGACACACCTTGCAACTGGAACTTCCATGGGCCTGAGAGTGGGCAGAGTTCTGTGCACAACCTGCTTCCCAACAAAAGGTCAATTTAGAGAGCACCCCCAACCCCCCGAGTGCGGTGCTTCAACTTGTTTCAACTTGTTGAGGCTTTCTCAAAAAGGGTTCATCTGAACCCCTGATTTAGCAGAACCCCTGCTTGTTGTGGGAATGCGGATTATGCAGATTTGTTTGGTGGGTGAAATCCCCCTCTGGCCCATTACATGAGGGGTCAAAACCCAATAAGGTTGCACAATATCCCGATTGGGGCATTGTGCAGGGAGGTCCGTTGAAGACCAAATACCCAAAAAATCTGGGGGTGTGGGTTAACTTCCTGTGGAAGTGGATGTAGATGCTTTCTTAGACACATCCGAAGAATGCAGGGCCAGGTACTTTCTGGGTGATCTATGCAGGCCAGCCTGTGTCCGGGGAAATCTCTACCTTGCTTGGGTTGGTGCATGCCCCAAACATAGAACACTCTCATCTTATGTACACCTCATGCACCCGCTTTACACACCCTGTGTGTGTGTGTGTGTTTGTTTGGAAGGTACGACAATTTTGGGGGCTATTTTTTTGTAGGGAGCCCCTCGACAGAGGTCGGTGGGCACAAATAAGTCCCTACCTTAGCAATGTCCACCAAAAGGTCCATAAATAGAAGCCCAACCCTGGTAAAAAGATCCATTCTCCATAGCTGTCGTAAATTCAGGACTCACCCCTGGAGTGCGATCCCAACATGGTACTTGATTATTGTTTGGCGTTGGGGGGGGATGATTTGAAATGATTTAGGGGAGAATCTAAACGAATGGTTTCGTGTCGGCTGCCCTGCAAGAGCGTTCCTTAAAAGGTGCAGTGTTCTGACTCGCACCCTTTCCCCCCCCCAACAAAAACAAAGAGCGCCCTTTTTCCTTCAACCCTCATAATTAATCCCTTCAGATGGGTATGGGTCAAAATTAAACCACCAGGGGACCGCAGGTTTTGGTCCATGTGTCCACCGGGGTTCCATTTAAGGTACCTATTTTTGACAACCACAGCCAGATAGCTTTCAGGAGACCCGCTACGGGCCCGAAGAAACGGTCTCGGAATGGACATCCGAACGGCCGTTCTTTGTCCAAATGTGTGATCGAATTTCGAACGAACGCGTCCGCCCAAAGTATCAAACACAGTTTTTTTTTCAAGAAGGCAACCGCCTCAAAAGTGGTTGGACCCACCCCTCGTTTTTCCATGTTTGTTGTTGGGAAGCATTTCACATTTTCGCTTATTGTGGTTTAGTGGTTGAACTCCAACCACTGAACTGCTAAAGTTTGAAAGCTTGTTGATCCCCTTCCAACGTCCACCAAGAATTCTCGGCGCCTCAAAAGTGGCTGGACCAACGCCTCAAAAGTGGCTGGACGCCCCCCCCCCCCCCCCGCCCCGGTTTTTTTTCGGTGCCTAGGCGACTTCCGCCACTCGACCCCCCCCCCCCCAGCCGCGGACCTGAGGCTGGGAGGCAACTCCCTGGGCTCCTCCGTGGCGCGGCTGGGCGCCTGGGCGCCGCGGCTGAGGCGCCTGGAGCTGGAGATCAACGACCTCCGAAACGAGGCGCGGGGGGCCCGCGAGAGGGCGCCCGAGGGCGCCCGCGGGGTTTGGGGGAGCGGGCTCCCACGTGGCGTGAGCCAGGGCCTTAAGGCGGGTAGATGAAGACGGTTTGTAAGGGTTACTGACCAGAATTGTAAGCATGGTTCTGGATAGGGCATTTTAATGCCGGGTTTTGATTCTGACTCGCGTGGGTTTGGGTGAGCGTCGCCTGGTTTCAGCTTGGCGGCAAGCCCCTCGAGATCAACTAAGAAAGACATGAGCGACGCTTTGTTTTTTTGCCCTGGAAATCCAATGCTCTGGGAAATCACAGGTCCCAACTTTTTCTGTAGGTTCATTGCTTGCATGATCCGCCGGGTGGTGGTGGTTTTGCATCCGCAAGGCTGGAGTTCGAGGCACGAGAAGGTGTACTCCATTCAACAGCCCAAAAAGGCCTTGGGGTCTGAGTCATTCACAGTGACGTTTTAATGTGCCAAGACGAACATGGGTGGTGAAACGTTCAAACAAGGCATCTCGTTAAACATAAATAAGCCTTTAGGGCTTACTGCAGCCTCAGGAGGGCACAAGTTGCCAAGTATATTCAACCGAGGCATGTGCGGCTTGGGCTTGCCCAAGGCTGCTAGTTCACCCTTAGCATGTACACACGCCGCCCAAACAGTCACCTCGGTCGACTCCTGCTGGAGTTGAGCCCTGGCTGCCGCGACCTGGCGTAGGGTTCGCAGCCTTTCTTGCGCTTTGAAGCGTTGCAAAACTATGTATTTGTAAACATACATATATATATATGTCATATATGTATATATAGATCAGAAATGCATATATATATATACATATGTATACATGCTCAGACTTGTTTAAGATGATGCGCCCAGAAAAGTGGACCACATTTCATTCAGGGTCGGTTCCCTGCATGTCAAGCAAACCAACCACCAGGCATGGTTAAGGATAATTCTGGTCCTCCTGCTTCCTCGTTAATTCACGCACGTGTTTCACTTATTGGTTCATTCAATATCACACACACACACATGCTTGTGATTGACTTTACACTTCAAAGCATCCTTCCTCTGTGGTTGAGTTGGGCTCGTTTGGTTGTTGGAGATATGAAAGTTGAGCACCCCGTTTACCGGGGTATGCTGGCCAAATCGAGCACGTGATAAAGGTTGCTTGTGGACATCATATTTCCAGTGTGTCAATGCTTGTCTTCCAGATACTTAATACTGTACTATGTGTTATGTTCCCAGTTGTTCTTTTTCGTAAGACAACCTATCACTACTGGTTGCCTGTTTGTTCAACTTAAGGCAAATGGTTGGAATTGGCCCGGATGACCTGCTTTCGGGGAGATTCGACATGGCCAGGGATGTGAGCTCCTGGCGCAGGCAGGAGACGGCGGACGGACCTGAGATCGAGTTTTATTTCATGGACCTCTGAGCGAACCGGAGGGGGGGGGGTATGGGTATCCCTGGAGAAGGTTCTCCGAAAAGGATTTTTTTAATCCAAGTTGACTACCGCCCCCTCAAGGCATGGGGTGGAAACCACGTGAACAGTGAGGTGGATAGCTGCCCCCACTCCCCAGTTCGCCCCCCTTAGGGCTCCATGCCATGAGTTGGCCACATCCAATTTCTTCTTCTGCAAAGGATCTCTCGGAAGTGCAGTGTGGCTCATACCGCAGATCGACTCAACACGTTTTGTGGAGCAACACCCAGGCACTCTGAAATGGTCAAGCCCAACGGAGGTCGCTTAGCACATGCCATTGGGCTGTCTTGCCTCATCTCCTTGATTGGTGTCAGCGGGGAAATCTGCCGGAGGTTTCCACTTTGGGTGGCCAGTCAACTCAGCAGCTCAGTGAATGCTTTTTGTTCCGCAGGCGCTGCAAATGGGCAGCACCCAGCTCCAGTACCTCGAGCCTTGGCATGAGATTCCGAAGCAGCGCCCGAAAGTTCAGCTGGTCGTTTTGGTTCTGCTGCCTCGCTTTTTGGGGATTTACTAAAAGAGCTGCAAGTAAAACACCTTGGACATGTTGGAGAACCAACAGTTGATGGGTTTGGGCAACGGTCAAAGGGTGTACAGACTTGTAAGCAAGTGAGATGAGTCCTTTCACTCGTTCAAAGCAACCTGAAAGGTGTGCGTTTGTTGACCTCCTTTGTGGCCTTTGGTAGCTCTGAAGATGTTGATAGAGTACTATTGGCCAGCACATCCGTGAATTCCGGCGCCTGCGGAGTCCTTGGTGTACGAGTGTATGTGTGCTTTTGTTGTGCTTGCTGTGAGTCGAACAACCTCCACCCACCACCCACCACCCACCACCCACCCTAGAAACAGGTTACCATTTTGTCCGCCTGGCTGTTTAATGGAAGGATGGGCCGGAACCGGCAGCGGCCTGTCCATGATGCCCTTGAGCAAAACTATGAGGAGACTCCGCGACCCTTCGAAAACCGGTAATTTCTCAGGTCTGGAGAGTGGGGCCGGAACCGGGGGAGTCTTTTCCTTTATTAGCTGGAGTCCGCTGGAAAAAGTATATGAGAGAATACGTCCACTGACACATTCCCTGTAAAACCAGCAAGGCAACATGAAAAACTTCATTTCAGCAAATGGCTCCGTTTTTCTGAGGGGCTCCATTTTTGCGTGGCTTCAGATGGAAACCAGCGGACCCGATTGGCTTGTGGCTTTTTGCGAGTTTCTGCTCTTTTGGTTTCTTTTAGCAACACTAAACCAACCCTAAACCAGCCCTAAGCTCACACTGAACAAACCCTAAACCAGCCCAAAACCAGCCCAACCCACCAGAGACCAGCATTAAACCAACCCGAAAACCAGCCCTAAACCCACTTTAAGCAGCACAAAACCCACCGCAAACCAGCCCTAACAACTTAAACCAGCCCTAAGCCTACCCTAAATCCACCCTGGGCGAGTACTTTGCTTGCGCGCTGTGTACTCGAGCAGCGAAAAAGCCCTGTGTTGGCGGCGGCGGTGCCAAGGTCAACTTGCTCAAAACAGGACACCCCAGTTAGAGGGAAGCTGAATACATGTCCCCGTACAGGGTTCCATTGACCCATGTTGACCCTGTCTTGAATTGCATCTTCGAATCGGGTCAGACAGTTTTCATCACTCTCCGTCCCTTCTTAGGACCTCAGCGTGAACGGGATCCAGGCGGATGGTGCGGACGCGCTGGCGCGAGCCCTGCGTGGCAACAGGCCAGATCATATGGCGCTTTGGGCTGGTTGGGGGAACATAGGCTTCTTTTCTAGGAATTCGTCTTTTTCCTTTGTTTGGGATATGTCCTAGTTTTTTACTTGAGGCTCGGTCTAACAGTTGTCTCATGGTAACTGTTTTTGCCCGTCGAACCGCGCTTTCTGACTACAACCGGAATTTCTCAGCGAGACAGGGTATGTTGACTCAGCAGCTTGAGCATCCAAGTGTTGGCAAATTCTGTGCTGCAAATGCCCGCAAGCACTGCAAGTATGGAACGCCAGTCATTTGCCGCTTTACCAAGGGTATGGCGAGCTGTGGCCATGGTTCAAAACCAATGGTACCATTTTGGGGTAGGTGCACCACTCATTTTAGTACCTATTTTAGTGGTTGGGTTGGGATGTTCACTGGGGGTACGATTGGGATTTTGACCCATGGCCATGTGGTTAGTTCACGTGCAAAGCAGGTCAACATGCGCTGCCTTCTCAAAGTCCGAGGAGCGTTCGCCACGTTCGGGCAAAGCCCTGACACCGCTTTCACTTTTGTGGGGGGTCGGGGGGCAGGGGGTGGGGGCATCCCTGCTTTTCCTGGGATTCTCTTCCGGTTTGCCCTTGAACATGCATGAAGAGGTACTGTTGTTCTTTGCCAACAAAACACAGACATTGCAGCTCCAAAGGTTCAAGGACATCCCTTCAACTGATTTACAGCCAGCACGACAGAGAACGTCTACTTGTTCTCCGTGGGTCCAAATCGGAATTCGCGCGTTCCGAACGCGCGTTCCGAACGCGCGAGGTCTTTGACTTATCTGGACCTGGGCTACAACCGCATCGGCCCGGAGGGCGCTTTGGCTCTGGGGCAGCTTGCGGACTGCGCATTGAAGGCCGGGTGGGAGCTCCACGACAGGAGTTTCCTCGAGGGGAGGGACGGTGTCTTTCTTGCTGTTGTGGTTGGTAGCTCTACTGTTGTGTTCCTGCAAACCTGCTCGTAAGTGGGAACCAACCCACAAAATGTGTGTTGTTTTTTCTTTTTCTTTTTTCTGCTGACCTTCAAGTGGAGAACGTTTTGACACCAAAGGTACTGTTCTCCCTAGCAAAGAGTTAGTCATCCTGCAGCGCTCAGTTGGACCAATCAATTGTGGGGAATAGGTTGATACCGTGTTGCAGTGAATGGTTTGTATAGGATACATGTTCCAAACAGTTTGTAACAATTGATCCCGATTCCAGACATGTTCAAGGTGTTGTTTTCGGGTATGACTTTGTCTTTGGTGCATTTTGCTTGGATGTTAGGACTCTAATAACTGTTTGCCAACTAATGGGTTTTCCATTAAACCACTAAAAGTTAAACTTTTAGCAGGGGAGCAGAAAGCAACCGAGTTGTAGTTGTCGAGTTTATACACCATTTATCACTGCCTTGCAAACGTTTGGTGGTGCATTGGTCACGACCGACACCTCCAATGCCCATAGCTGACATGTTCATGTGGTTGGTGCTTTAACAAACCATGTGTTTCCTTTCGGGAACATCCAGGAACCTTGTACACTTGTAGACTAGGTCCCCCAGTAGTCCCCTCTCCTTTTTGTTTGGTGAGGGTTCCCCTACTAAAAATAGACTGCAGAACAAAGCTTTAAAGGGTACCCTTATTCTAACGACCTAGTAGAGTGTTCCCTTGATATACCAGGTCTTTCTGTTCAGGCTCTGGGCTAGTCGCTCTCACCTTCTTCCTCCAAATCCAACCCTGTCTTGCCTTGCCTCTTACGCGAGGTTTGGGGAGACTGCATGACAAGGGTAAACCCTTTCTTCCCCTTGGCCAGTGAGGAGTTGTGGTGGTTGACACCAAGGGACGAAAGAACATACCATGAGGCTGCTGAGTTGCTTGCATAGAATTATACAATCGGTTGCCACTTTTTGGGATCATGCGCCTGCGCCCTTTCTAACCCGAGGCAGGACTGAGTTACTTGCAGGGGATGGGGCTTGACCGTTGTGAGAAACGGACGGCCTGCGCTGAGGTTCTGCGTCTGGAGGACAACGGCCTGGGGGACGCGGGCGCGGTGGGGGTGCTGCGCTTGCCGCTGGAGGACGAGACGACTGGCCGAATTCGTTTCACCTCAGTTGAAGGTTCCCCCCCCCCTCCTGATTTCGGGCCATCGGCCCTTGCCTTTGCCTTTTGCGATAGCGCACAGTGTCTGTTCGACGCAGCGATTTATTGGGGGAAGGGGGAACGAAGGAGAAGGCCCCAAAAGCAAGCAAGTCTCAGTGCCTCCAGTTGAAGGGTTCGCCGTCTGGGCTTGGCTTCCTACGGCCCTTCCGGGGCGAGCTCGCCTTGGGAACTTCTCGTAGGAGCTTCGCTTGGGCTTCAATCAGGCGGGGTCGGGCCGCGCAAGCAAGATTCACCATGTGGCGGAGGGTTGGCTCTCAGTTCCCTGTTGGAGTTGTATTCAACATGCGGGAAGCCCCCAAACCAGTGGCTTCCCTTTGGTTTCCAAGTAGACAAGCAACACGAAATGGTTCCCTCCAAAAAAAGGAGACACCCACGTTGGATGGTGTAACAATATTTCGGATGCCAAACCCAGTGTTCGTGGAGGCGCGAACAGTGGATTTGGGCACAACCTATCCCTCAAGAGCACGTGGCTACTTTTAGTGGGTCCTAAGGTACGGGAGCTTTGGTGATCCGAGTGCGGGCTCGCATGCGTCAAAACTCAGGATTCCTTTGGCAAAAATGACCCCAAGTAGGTTTACGACCTCATGTTGAAGCTTCCTTTCGTAGCAAGTCCCTACTTGGGTTTGACGTTTTCTTTTCCAAGCGCTGGGGTATGCCTACACTAAGAAGTGGCCCGGCTCAATTTGCTACAATATGTGGGTATTCACAAGGTGGTTCTTGAATGCACCCTAAAGATGTGTCTTAAACGAGTGCCTCTGAGTATTTGACTCTAGAAACAGTTGGATTGTCCAAAGGGAATCCTTCGGTGGTAGATGTCCATGGCACCAATGATCCTGACAGTTCTGAACGGCACTCACTTGCATTGGGAAAGTGTTTCTTGCTCAACACTGGGAATGTCAGGTTACTTCACAGAATCTTGTTGCGTTTTTTTTTTTTTAATGCCGTGGAGAAATTTCTCGTGGCATATCCGACCTCCAGACCTCTGGAACCCTTTGCTGGACTCATATGGTTCCTTCAGTCGCATACAGCTACGCGGGTTGGGCCAACCACTTGTTCAAATCTCGGGGGCCTTCGCCTGTCTGATTCAGAGCCTTCCCATCCTCTGGAGCTGGATGGGTATGTTTTTGAAGGGTACCCCTTCTGTTTTGTGGTTGTTTGAAGGGACACCAAAAGATAACCGCGTGTTGATTTGTTGGTTTTTCTGCGGGGGAGGGGGGGGGGGGAGGGAGGGGCGAGAAAAGAAAAAAAGAAGAAGAACGAAACAAAACACAGGGGGGAGGGAGGGGCGAAAAATCACCAACAAAGACAAACCCCAAAAAACAAACATCACCTCCGAATCAGTAGTTCACCAAAGGCATACCGCCCCATGCGCATCCCTGCAGGTTTCGGCCCAAGGCGCGGGCCCTTGCGGACGGAAGTCGATGCCCTTAGCTGAGGGGTTGAGTCATATTATCCCCAAACGGGCCCCAAATGGGCCATGACCATGGGCAACCTTTTTCCCCATGTGGTTGAAATGGGGGTTGATCTGTAGTTTCTTAGGCCATGGGCAACGTGTCCCATGGGACATATCATTTTTTTAGTGGTTTTCCCCGATCACCCATGTAAAGGAGGTTTTGAGCAACCACCACATCATTTTTGGGGGCTGTTTAAAGGGAAACCAAAGGGCAAACACCCAGTCTGAAGAGTTTATCCAATTCAGAGATAAGTCCACAGGAGTTGTTTTTTTGAATCATGGCTGACTTAGTATGCAGCCTCTCAAATGACGCGGCGTTTTTACATGAAAAGCGTGGTATTGAGACAAAAGGTGAGGTATGATGCGTAATGTTCAGGATCGATGAGCTGGACCACTGGAACAAGACTGAATATTGGACAAGGGGCTTTGGACGTGAGGCCGCTAAGTGGGTTATTGAGAAAGCCCTAGATGAACAGAGGTTTGCCATGTTACGGGGATCCTTGACTAGGGCGGGAGGTAGGCTCCTGTTACTTCGCCAGGCTTGTAAATTAGATATCAGCTTCAGCAAGCAAATTGGCCATGCGATGTTGTTATTGTGTCCGTCGCTTGCTGGGAGGTTTTACATTGAGTTGGGTGAGTTCTACACACCTAATGGCATTTCCTCCGGGCAGACGACCGCGAAATTCGGTGTGTCGGTTTGAGCGGAACCAAAGGATCCTAGTCTCTCGTCCAGTGGTTTCTTCGGCCAGCAACGGCTGGTGAAGGCCTCGCTCGCTCAGGACACCCGCACCTTCCCCATGTCCATTTCGCAAGTCCGAGCCTTCAGACACCCAACAGAAATGGGTTGTTGTTGCAGAAAATGATAGGTGGGCACAGAATGGTTGACATCAACGCTTAGGTTTGCGGCAGACAATGGCCTCACGCCCAGCAATGAAATGGCTTGCTTTTCAAGAGCTGAGATGTGCAGACAGAATGGGTCGCTTTTTCAACGCGGTCGCACTCATGCTTCCCCTCTCTTCCCCCCCCAGAACAGAGGTGCATTTTGCCAAGGGATGTTAGGACTTTCACTTTTTGCCAACTAATGGGTTTTCCATATTAAACCACGAAAAGTTATAACCTAACTGTTAGCAGGGGAGCAGAAAGCAACCGAAAGCATGGCTGTTGTTGGGGAAAAAATGTTTTTTTTGCTTATTGCTCCCCTTCCGTCACGTCAACCAAGCTAAGAGGCTCGTTCAGCGCCTCGCAGGGGCCGTGTACCTGGCGATGTTGCTGCGCGGGGCTTCCCTGCGGCGCTTGGACCTCACGGGCAACCAGCTGCAGGAGAGATGAACGTTGAGGGCCCCCAGCTAGGTGCCCTTTCACCCCTTTTTTGGTTGGGAGGGTTCCCCTACTAAAGTAGAGTACCGAAAAATGGGTACCCTTATTTTATCCTCTCTTCTGGAGGGCCTAGACCATCTGGTCGTTGCTTCCCTTGAAAAACATGAATCAACGGATCTCCAGTGGAAATGTCCCCACAAAAAACAACAACAAAAAACACAGCTTCCCTTGAAACAAGCCAAAAATCTCCCCCCCCCCCCCCCAAACTCCATGGTTTGACGATGACCCTATCCCCAAAAACCTTTGGAGGAAACCTATGGAAGGAGATGGAGAAAACCTGTTTGGCGAACAGATGAAACCACAAATGCATACACAGTTGTATTGGGTCCATCCCTTGGGCAAGTTTCTACCCGTCCGATCGGTTCTTTGGAGTGATGCTCTTTCATGAAAGCCCAGAACTCCAGTGCGGCGTTGCCTTTCTCTTCAGCTTGATTGGTCCTTGTTTTCGCCGGCCACTAGAGGTCAGGCAGGGAGTCTTTGCTTGTGTGTGTATATATATATATATGTGTTGTACTTGTTGTGCCATGTACTGGACTGCGTGTGTGTATATATATAGATATACTTATATGCATAGACATGTATTAGCATGCCTTTGCTGTTTGCAAGATGTTGTGTTTTGATTCATTTATGTATTTGGTGTGATGGCAGCAGTTAATATGCACTGACATCTACAGTAGCAAGGGGATGACATGGGGCAACTTACCATGAGGAAATAGGGTTACTAGCCAAGTAATGTCCATGTCAATCTGGGCCCAAAATAGATCTTGATCGTGGCTCACATACATACACGTAGATATAATCGTGTATATGTTTGTTTGTTTGTTTGTCTGTCTGTCTGTCTGTCTGTCTGTCTGTCTGTCTGTCTGTCTGTCTGTCTGTCTGTCTCTGTCTGTCTGTCTGTCCGTTCGTCCGTCTGTCTGTCTGTTTGTTTGTGTGTTTGTTTGTTTGTTTTGTGCCTTTGTTTCTTTGTTTTGTTTGTTTGTTCGTTTGCTTGCTTGCTTGTTTGTTTGATTGGGTTTGTTGGTTTTTGTTCATGCGCCTCTACGTCTTGGCGTTCAATCACCTCAGGACGCCGGGGCCGCCGCCTTCGCCGCGGCGATGCAGAAGAGCTGCTGCCTGGAGGCTCGGCACCCCGGACAGATCGGAACTCACGGGGGATTCCACGGGATTTCGTGGGGATGTCGTGGGGACTTCGCCTTCACCCGTGCTCCTCCAAAACAATGTTTAAAGTTTTTATTTTTAGGGTGGAGCAAGGTCAAGAAAAGGGTGGGCTATATGTGTCAGATCGCCTTCTTAACCTTATTGTTTTTAGGGTGGGCGAAATCTGACATGGAAAAACTGAAATCATGTTTGCAAACTTGGGCGAAGTAGGACTTGGAATCTGAAGATTATGTGCTCTGCATACCACATGTGGGTCAAGGAATCAGGGAATGACCTCAACCATTCCTTGTGGTTCCTTTTTGAATTCCCTTCCGGTTGGTTCCCAAACCCCTGTGAATTCCCTTTTCGAGAACCAGCAAGAAACTCAGCTCCCCAGTTTAGTTCTGGATGTCCTAGATTCCCCATTTTACCCAGGGCTGGTTGGGATTTTCTGATGCACAGGGTGGAAGTCCCACCCGCCGCGCAGCTGATTTCGGGAGCTGGATGTGGGGCAAACGACCCCTTTGAAGCCCCCTTCAGACCTCTCCCCAACATTTACACTAGAGACTTGCACTTGCTCCACGCAAGTCCAGTGCTCCCGGTTGAGGGATAGACCCACGGAAAGATATTTGAAGTTGCTCACAGGAAGCCATTGCAAGCTCTGCGGAATGCGCTTGGACCTTTTGCCTAAGCCGCTTGAGCCTCTGGATTTCCACTTTGACTCCATAGGTCCATAGGTTTTGTCATGGGAAATTAGAACCACGTCACGGTCCGGGGGTTGGGGGGGATGCAACGTCACCCAAGATTTCTTTCATAGGGATCCCAAATGTTCGGTTGTCCAGAAGATTAATGTCTTGGACTTTTCCCCGGCCGAACTCGCTTCAAAGCAGGTTGCCCTTGGATGGTCTTGGAATTGGATAGGGTTCCAACCAGTCTTCGGCCGCATACAGTTGAACATTCTTCAAGAAGGACAGCCCGCATTGTTGTGTGCTCCCCAATTCTCAGAGACACCTCCCATTTTTTGCTGCCTCTCCCCCCCAATTTTGAGGCAAACCCCTGGCTTTCGGACATGTCGCATCCCGGAAAAGAAAAAAACGGAAAAAAGAGAAAAAACAAAACAAAACAAAAACGGAGCTGCACGACAGGAGCTAGTGCTGGCGGGCAACGCCATCGGCAGTGCAGGTGCGAACGGGAGGCTTCGTTCGCTTTCAGTGGCACCTTTCCCTACCTGGATCGCCAGTTGCTGCATTTGTCCATCCACTTTACCCCAAAAACCGATCGCAACAGTGATTGAAAAATGCAGCAACTTGGCTCTCTAGGCAGTTGCTGAAATGAATAGTGTTTTATTGTCCCCTGTTGGTTTGCATGGGATTCTGTCACTACTGGATTTTTTACTTTGTTTTTTTCCGGGGGACATATCTGCAAATGGACGGTTTGCAGTTTTCCTTTGGCGGGTCCACCAAACTTGGTAGTCCCAGAAATGGTCCCATTTTTTAGACAACTGGGAAATGGAGACTTACCCAAAGCCCACCTTTTAAGCTTTTGGTTTCTGATGTTTGGTCTTTTCGTCGCCCCCAAAGTTTCGGTTTTCTTTGTCTAGGTCCTTTGGGCTGGGAAAGAACAGGTTCAAATCCACAAGCCGCACTCCAAACCACCAATTCGGGGGGAGCATTCTTGGATTTGGGTGTAGCCCAACACGAATCGGCACTCCTTTTGGTTGGGTTGAACCCCCCTCCAAAACACCGTCGAAAAAAAATGAAGTAATAAAAACAAAAACAACAATAACATAAAATAAAATGGAAGCGAAACTTCCCGCTTCATAATCACCAGAACGCTGTCTGGGGCAGAAAACAAAAGTACAATGCCAAGTCAACTTGACCAAACTTGGCCAGACTTGGGACCAGGTTAAAAAAACAAACACATGCTTGTATACCGCTGACGTGTTTTGTTGCACCCCAAGCTCCTCCTCAGCGTCCCCTGCACGCAGGCCAGCTGGCTCCTGAGGCCACGTTGCCCAACCTTCGAAAAATACTGTAACACACAATGCAAATCGCCCCTGGCAGTCGCCAGCATGCCCGCCAACATCCTTTGCGTCCTCGCCAACTTCACCAGCAGCATTCCTGCATCACCAGCATCTGGGCTTTCCAGCATCCCTTGCATCCCTTGCATTGAGAGTAGGTTTTGGTGGCGGGCAGACATAGCGAGCATGTTTGCAATCAAATAAGCGGGGTTTCTGCGCAAACGGGGCCAGCGCCACTATGCAGAAAACGTCGCACATACCGCGGAGGAGCTTGGCGTGCAACAAAACACGTCAGCGGTATACTCTACGCGTAGGATAGGAGAGACATCACGGAAATCCAGTGGTCTGAAGATTCTTGCTTCAAGCCATGGGTACAGGGTTTTCACTAGGAGGTTCGCAAGCAGTACTGTTTGATTTGTGAACCTGTTGGACGAGCCCCAAAGCTGCCACCAAAACTAGGGGACCAGCCGAATTGGCTCCATGTCTTGGAACATTTGTGGTTTTGACAATGGCCCAGGAAACAACTCGTTCTGACAGCGATTGCGAGCCGCTTGCGTTAGGCGGTGCCGCGTTGGCACAGGCGCTGCAGACTCTTGGCAAGACGTTGACCATGACTTTTGGGTCATATTGGTGGCTGGTCAGAGTCTGAAAGGTTGTTTCCCTGAACAAACACGCCGTGGCTTTGTCTCAAGATAAGGGTTCCCTCAGAATCACAAACCAGATGGTCCTTCACCTTCCCTTTAACCGCAGCACTTGTCCAAGATTGAGAAGCCATCTGGAATGTTGTCCTTTCTATTCTTGTGAAAATTATATGGTGATAGTTTTGGAAGGCCGGCTGTGGTCTTGTGGTCTGCAAGCCGCGAAAGCGATTTATCAGCTGACCCTTCTCACAGGGTTGCGCCAAACCTGGCAGGACACCGAAAGAAAGACGCAAGGAAACCACTGAAACCAAGAAAACCGCAGAAAACCGCAGGAATCAAAGCGCTCAGACGGTCTTCAATGGTGTTGTGATTTATTGTATTGTGATTTTCGCCACGTCCCCTTTCAACACCTTGCTGGAACTCTACAGATGCCGGATGGCAACTACTTGCTAAGTTGTTTGGTACCGGATGGCCATCCCTCCGAGTAATTCAGAACCCTTGCAACGTCCTTCAAGATTGATTCTACACATAGCTTACTGGGTAGGTCCTAGCTAGTCAACCAAGCTACGTGGGGTGGTCATCCATGTGTTTTATTGATCACATGTTGAGCTTGTTTTTACTCCTGGTGGTGGTAAGCGGGAACCACACGAAGGATGAGCATAGTGCGCAAAACTCTGAACGATGGCCAAACCTAGGTAGAAGCTTGGTCCAACTACAGTTTCAGTCTGGAGGACTCTGAATCCAATCCAAGGCTTGACGGCGGAATATGCGGCACCATGAAGACGTTTGCTTGACTGAAAGGAGGGAACACCCGTATTCTAGGGTGTATATAAATATTTTATATTCAAATATATATATATATGTATACAATATGCACAACAATATATGGAGGTTGATCAATACTCCTGGCCCCAAAATGAGTTGGACATATATATTTTTTAAGTGGTTTTCCCCAATGGTCATCCCGTGTACAGGACCCTTTGATCAACCCCCATATAAATATGTACATATGCATATATGTATATATTGTATGCATGTATATGCAGTGGTCCCCCGTCCCCATGAACTAGGTTTCTGACAGCATACGCCGTACAGATACACGAGTATGTTGGGGAACAGGGAAGGCGTCTTTGGGCTCGGACGCGTTTGAGGAACAACTGGCGGCTGCAAGCCTTAGATCTCCGCGAGAACCCGATCTCTCAGGAGGCGCGAGCCGGCGTTTGGTTTCTGGGGCCCCCGAGTGTCCTTTTTCGGGTAACGCTCCTTTCTAGTGGGTGGTGTTTTTTGTTGAGTTCTGTGCTGAGGTAGCCCTCTTTCTAGTTGGTGGTGTCCTGTTTGAGGTAACCCTCTATAGTTGGTGGCTTGGATCGGTTTGGGGATCTGGGAAACCCATCCGCCACACTGCCAAACCAAAAGATCAACTGCAGGGAAGCTGGCGGGTCCCAAGGTCGGCCCACTCGTAAGACCCATTGTTTTTTCAGGATCGGCATTGTGGGCCTCTGAATTTGCAGTTTTTTTGTGTGGCCACTTGGAAGACACGTGTTGTTCACCCAGGAATCAGCAGAATTCAAGGAGAACCCACTGTGTGTGCTAGTTGAAAACGCTGCCAGGCTGCTCTCACCATCGCTGAGTTGCGTCTCGGCAATGGGTGCTGAAGAGAGCAGTGGATCTGCCCCATGTTTGTTTGCGTTGCTTGCATGTTTTCGATGTTCCCTGTTTCTTTTTGTTTCCCAGGGCAGCCAAAGAGAACCTCCCCACACAAACCACAAAATCATGACTATCCCCATTGACAGGCTTCCAATATTTCCCTGTGTGGTGGTTTGCAACATCGCCTCTTGGGCAAGTCGAACGTGAGCTTCCGTTTTTGGTGGGTGATGGTCAAGGGGGAAATATACTTGGATCTTTAGACTTTAACTTTTTGGGAAATCATGGGGTTTTCCGCTAAACCCACAAAAAGTTAAGCTTTTTGCAGAGGGGTCAACAGCAACCATAGGGAGCCCTCGGAGCGGCAAAACCCCGCCCGAACGGGGGTTTTTCGGAGAGTTCCTTTCAGCAGGGAAGGTGTTGGAAATTGAAACTGCTCGAAACCGGCAAGTCCTTTGGAAACTGTTTGGTTCGGGAAAACTGTGGCCTCATATCCACAGATAGATTCCAACATGGCTCAACGATGTTCTCCCACGGTCTCGTGAAAAAGGGAGCCAAGAAGGTTTCCTCGCACGCAATCCACGAATCCGCCCGAGAACTCCCATCCGGAAGGCTTCCGGATGCAGGATCCGCCAATTCCCCAGATGCAAAGGCGCCCACCAGAAAGCTGCATAGGTGTCCTTTTTGGTTGTTTTGCTAGAAAATAGGTGGCCCTGGTTTACCTGGTGTAATCATCTACCAGGGCCATCTATTTCCCCTAAAAGGACACCTATGACAAGCCGTGGTCCAATTACGTAAGCAGATTGCAACCAGGGTCTGAACTTGAGGCAGCAAGGGGTTGGTCGACTTAGAGTGGTTACAACCTACTCACGTCAGTTTCTGGACCCCAGACTGTTTGGGCAATCCGATCCGATTCGGGGGAAAAGCGAGCTCACTATGCACCTTTATTTGGGAATCTCGTGTTGGTGTTCTGTTCTTGTAAAACTGACAAGTGTTTGTTCACTGTAAATACCCTACCCTTCCAAAGGCCATAAAAAGAGTCGTCAAGGTAGGCCTTTCTTGGCCGAGAGGCCCAGTTTTTAGCCGCCTGGCTGGGCTGCAAAAAGGTTCTCGTCGAGGAAGCACTGGGAATTTTCAGCGCTCACATCCTCCAGTCTCCAGTCCTTGGGGGCAGTTGAAAGATTCGCAGATTCGATCCAGTAAATTCCCCCCTCTGCCGATCGCCCAAAAGCCTAGGCCAACCAAAAGCACAGAAAGAAACAGGAAGAACCCCTCAAAATCAAAAAATGAAAAGAACAACAAGAACCCCCCCCCAAAAAAGGGGAAACCAGTTTCGCTCTGAACCCCCCCCCCCAAACACACCCCAGGAGGACCCACCAACCCCCCCTTCAGACTCCGCTGATTCGTTCCGTTCGCTCGCGAGGACGTCCCAGGCGCGCCTGGCGGCGCGATCTGCGCCCCCAGCCTTGGCGCAGCTGCGTGCAGGGGCCGCGAGGCATCGAATCCGGCGATCCGAAGGGAATGTTGTCATCTTCCATTTGCTGAAATGAATATCTGTTATTTTCCCCTGTTGGTTTTAAAGGGAAACGATTTCACTACTGGACCTATTTTCTCATTCTTTCCAGGGGTCTTAACCGGATGGAAGTCATTTGTGGGTTGATGAAAAGGTCAGTAAAACAGAGGGACTGTGGCATACTGAGCACCTGGAGGTTGAGGTTTGACATCCATTTGTGAATGTATATGCGATGTCATTATACGCATAGGGGGGTTGATCAAAAGGTTCTGAACACAGTTTGATCCGGTGATGTGGGGGTCATGATCCGATTGGATGGGTTTTCAGCGGAAATTTACACCCTCTTAATTGAGTGAAAAACGCCTACAAACATATCTGAGGGCGGGCAGCTGAAGGCATCGGAGGTGGTGTATGTTCCTATGTAGCCGGTTGATCACGGAGGCCTATGTAAACCTGCGGGTGTTTCTTTGTGTGTTTGTCGGCGTCCTTTTCGTTTCCCCTTTAAAACCAAACAAATTACACATAGGTTCGCGCGTGGATGAGTTGAAACAGATAAGTCGGACTCCAGTCCCGATGGCACATTTTCCCAATTGATTTGTGGTTTTGTGCGGCGTTCAAACAGCGCTAGAGAAAAGCATCCCTCCCGCCAGGCGGTCCAAAAAAGGGTAGTTAATGCGGTAGCTCGAAGCCTGGCCACACTAGCTCACCTTGCTTTGCCCCTGGTTTCCTTCATTTTCCCCGAAAGATTCAGCTTTCCCCAGAAAATCAACGACCCCAACGAGAAGGCGAGATAGGGCCACGGTCAGGCGCTGGCCGTGCTGGAGCGTTCGCGCATGGCTGCGGTGGCTCCTGCAGGCCCGTGAACGACAGCGGGCGAAAATGGGTACCCGGTTTAGGGGGTGGTTTAAAGGGAAGCCATGTTGGGGGGTCCCCGAAAAATTCAGGGCATGGTGGGGTTTTGAGGGGAAGCTCAGAGGAAATCAGACACCTTTGGGACCCTGTTTGCATGGTGAAACCACCAGGAGGGTGGCACGAAAAATTATACAATCAAGGGGTTGGCCCCGTCAACTGAATTGCTTTCTCCTGCAAATGGAGGTTGTTGTGTTTTTTGAGGGTGCTGTTTTGGGGGGGCCATATCTTGAAACACTCCCATATCCGTTTGTGTCTGGAGAGCATGGGGTTCGATGAAGCGTTTCGTCTTCAAATATCTTTGCCTTTTGCTTCTGACTTCGTTGCCTTTTCCAACTTGTGCTTTTTTTGAGGACCATGTTGCGGTGCCAATCCGTCCAAGTGAATCCAAGAAACTCGTCCCCACGAATTGGTTTGGTTCGAGGTTTGTGAAATCATAAGTGGGCCTTTCGGAATACTTAAGCCCAGGGGTGACTTTTGGCTTCCCCAAAGCGGAACTTTCGCTAGGATGAAGTCTGCCTTGGCATAGCCCAAAATGGAACCCTGGTTTGACAGCCACCCCCACTGACAGTAAGCTTCACCTCCCTTCTTTGCAAGAAAAGTTTCAAACCCAACGAAAAGCAAGTCACAAGGCCCATGTCCTCTTCAAACTGGTTTTTCCCGGGATTCTTGTGTCAAGCTTGTTCCCCCGCGTTTCTGGTCCAACCCGCGGGCCCCACGGACCCCCGAAACCCACGTCCCTAGCGCCCGCAGGCGGTGGCCCCCGAGGAGTCGGCGGCGGTGCTCGCCTGCGGCTTGGCCTCCGCGGTCATCACGGAGGATGCCGAGGGCACCTGGCGCCTAGGGCCAGTCAGGGGGTTGATGACGTGTGTGGGTGTGTCTCGGTGTGCGTGGGCCGGGTGGGTGGGTGGGTGGGTGGGTGGTTGGTTGGTTGGTTGGTTTGTTGTTGGGTGGTGGTGCTTTTGTGGTCTCTTTGTTTGGGGGTGTGTTTGCTTGTTTTTGTTGGGTTGGCTTTGGTGGTGATGGTGGTGGTGTTGGTGTTGGTTTTGTTTGGTTTGGTTTTTGGTTGGTTGCTTTGTGCTGTTTCGATGCCTCCCGTGCCTTTTCAGGTTTGAAGCCTTCCAAGCCCCGGCCCGTTTTCGTTCTTGCCGCTTTGGCTTTGTTTCGGGGTGTCCCAAGAGGACGGCCATGTCCATACCAAGCCCCGGGAGTGGGGCCGTGGGAAGCGTTCCGGGCGTATCCGAGCCGCCCTTAAGAGTCGAGGTTTGAGTCTGGAAACGGAGAAACGAGTTGTGAAGCATGATATGAGCACTTGTTTCTGTTTTTTGTTTTTTTTGCATTCTTAATGTGGCTTTTGACGGCTGCTTGGACTGCCCCGCGGTTTTGGGGGGGTTGGAATCTACGTCACGCACAAGCTCTTTGAGCGAGCGCCCCTTGAGCCGCTTGGTTCATCAGCCCATGGAAATGTTTCAGGACCTTCCTGGGACAGCAGAAAGAGGTTCACTTCAGGGGTCTGGGCCATAGACTGTCCTTGGCGGCTTTTCCGACCTGTTTTTCGAGGGAACTGCAGACCCAGTGCTTGTTACCCTGCATGCAAAACCTGAAACCCGAAGGGTGACTTTCCCGCGAGGCCTGTTGCAAGTGTAAGCCACAAAAACCCACCCATGGCAAATTTATTCAAGTCTCCATTGGTTCAAAGGTTCCCCACTAGTCTGAGGGTACCCGAGTTTTTGACTTTGCCCGTCGGACAGGGCACGCATCTTCTTAAGACTGCAGTGGCTGTGAACGGGGGGAGCGTTTGTCGGCTCCGCTTGCGGCCGCCAGCGCCTCGAGGTACGAGCCTCATCGCCTGAAGGAGTTGGCGGGTCTCTACGGCCGGCGGCTGAAGTCCGAGTTCTGCTCCAAGAGGCTGCCAGCACAAGGCGGGGCAACAGAGGACGGGCCTCGAAGATCTGCATGTGCCCAGCGGAAAATCAACAGGGATCACGTCTTCGGGCCCTTGCAATGAGAAACCATTGCGGTATCATGTCTGCTGGTATCTAGTTGTAGCTGTGTCAGGTCCTGTAGGTTCGGGTCATGGTGAACTCACTAAACCCGCGAAAACCCTGACATTAAAAAGAAGAAGAGAAACAACTCAACTGCGCCCCTTGTCCAAGGAGATTCGACCGTGGCTTATCCAGTCTGGTCCTGTTCTCAAGACGATGGAGACGACCCTGGAGGGAAAAATGTGGCCCGGGGCCCTTCGAAAGGGCCGAAGAAAGGTGCTTCCCAATGGGCTCGCTCAAAAGCTGAGCCGCTAAGCTCTTGGAAAGTTGGACTTAGACACTTTTTGAGCTGCAAGACCTTCGCAGTGGCAAAGAGAAAGACCAAGCCTCGGAACTGCGAGCTGGTTTTTTGATGGCGCTTCGAAACATTGTGGCACCCCGTTCTGGCCGGCATTTAAACCATACCATGTTTGGGGTCCCCCGATTGTCACACATGCAGTGAGATTCTGTTGCCATGGTTGGATGGGCACAAACGTGCCTCTTCAGTTTTCACAACCATGCACTCTGAGTAGAAACAACACCATTTAAATTGAATCAATAACCATCCGCGGCCGCAGTCCATTCAACCCGCCCTCTCACAACGTGGGGCCAAGCCAAGTCTACGAGACAACTCTGTCTGGTGCCTTGATCACCTTGCCAGCCTCATGCCCGAGAAAGTTATGTTATTTGCTTGCTTGCTTCCTTGCTTGCTTCCTTGTTTGCCTGTTTGCTTGTTTGCTTTGTTTGTTTGTTTCTTTCCCTGCTTGCGTATTTCATCTCTCTGTCTCTCCGTCTCTCTGCAACTATTTTACCTCCCCCCCCTTCAGGGGCTCGAATCCCTCCTGGGCTGCGGCTCGAACCCCTCCCTCCGCAATCCGCGAAAAACGGCACGCAGCCCGTCTTTTTCCAAGCTATCTGATGCAGCAGCTGCCAGCTTTCGTTGGCCTCTCAAGCTCCTCGATTTCCTTGGCAGAGGTCCCCCCGGAAGACGTGTCTGCCCTTGCTTTGGGTCTCGCTCTGCTTTCTCGGCCTGAGAGATGTGGGCAGTGCCGGCCAACGGCCGGACTACCAGCCCAACGCGCATAGAACCCATGAGATCCCAGAGGGAAATTGTCTTCCTGGTAGTCATGTTCCACTTTACTTGGTTGGAGGGTATCATTGGTTGTGGTTGGATTGTCTTTAGCCTCGGTAAGTTTGAATGGACAGGCTTGTACCTCTTGAACCTAACGCCCTTCAAAGTGCTGGCTGGCCAGCATGCAGTGCAGGACGGATTGGTTTTGCGGAGTTGGGTATCGGAGGTTCTTGCTCCTTCCTACCTCCCTGGATGAGTTCCTGGAAACATTTGCGTAGCAAGAAGTGTGAGCGTTCTTGGCCAAACCTTCTCTTCAACAAGCAGCCCATTCGGGGCAATGCCTCATGGGTTTCTGGAAAGCAGGATCCCTGGAAAGAATGGGGGAAGGGTACCGTACCCTTTGTTGCTCCTTTGGCCGTTCCAATACCAAACAAAGCACGTTTTGGGGAAGAAAAACAAAAGTCACGGTTTCATTCTCAGTGTGTCTTTTTAAGGGGTTCCCTTTTTTAATAAAGAGAACAAAAGGAAACCAGCCGTTTCGAGGTTCCATATCCTTGAGACAAACTCGTTCGCCCATGGATTCTATAGGTCGAATAGGCATAACCTTGCCGTGCACTCTAAGACCAAGATGCTCAGGATGGTAAAATCATAATTGCCCCAGAGTTTGTGGACATTAAACTTTTTGGGCAGACAATTTGGTGGAAAACAAAACGTTCGGGCTTTTTTAGGGCCACCCACTCAAGAAGCGAGATTGGCTGGGTTGGATTCGAGGATCATTTACCCACCAGCAAACAATCAAAAGGTTCTTTTTCCCAAATCACCCTCCAGTTCATAATGTAAAATGTAGTTAGTCATTATGTTGCGTCTTATTGAATTCACAGGGGCTTAACCAAGGTGAAACACTAATGGGATGAGGAGGCAGGGCGCAGAATTTGCTAGACTATGCCACAACAAAAGGTCCTGTGTGTGTGTGTAGGTACGTGTGCGTGTTTGTTTTGAGGCTGCCCTTGTTGGAGTGGCTGTGCAGGGAAAACACAAGGAAAACCATTACTTTGTGGGGTCTCCATAATTTGACACACCCACACTGGCAAAACAAGCTGTTCTTTGCAACCCCCAGACCAAATAGAGCAAGAAAATGACGAACAACTGAAACACTTTGTGGAGACCCGGGATTGATAAACCTCATGGTTGAACGTGATTGGTTGAGCGAACAACCCCCTGCCTGGTTAATCCCCCCGGGTTTTGCTAATCCGGGGTCGTAGAATGACCAAATTGGGGTGTCCAAAAGTACCTCCCTTTTTTTCAGGATGCGTTCCTCACCTTTTGACCTTGCAGGTGTTGCCCAAAAGAGGATCACACCAGAACTCAGAGGAATCCGCTATGAGTTGGGGCTTGATCAATATTCCCTTCGGCCCCAAAATGACCATGGGCAACTTCTCCCGCGTGGTGAAAGTCATCTTTTTTAGTGGTTTCCCCAATGTTCACAGCATGTAAAGTACATTTTGATTTACCCCCCCAAATGATTTTATTCCCCACAAGGGAAGCTATCAAATGATTAGTATGGTCCTCCGGATTAGGCTGCAGTTTAGCATTTACAAGAACGAAGCCCGATCAGGGTCTACTCCCAGGTTGATCTCAGGGGGCGTCAAGGGGACAGGAGGTGGTGATTAGCATCGTTCACTTATCTTCTGAGATTCGATCACATTTTGCTGTACTTTTTAGAGTCAATGTCGGGTTTGGATGACGGGGGGTCGCTAGTGTTGGCTCAACCGATTGTTGCAAATGGCTGTGGGTCAAAACCAATGGTACCATTTTGGGGTAGGTGCACCACCCATTTCAGAACCTATTTTATTACGTAGGGGATTGGGATGTTCACTGGCGGTACGGGATTTTGGATTTTGACCCATGGCCATATGATTCACTCTGGCCGATGCCGGCAGTGCAACTTGGCACGGAAAAAGGGTGCCGGTGATTCTCTGAGTTGGGAAATTGGAGAAACGCCCAAGCCCAAGAAATGGTTTTGGCCCGGGTTAAGGAAGCCCAAGAGGTTGAAAAGCAACCAATCCTTCCGGAAAATGAGGCTATCGCTTGCCCACTTTCTGTGAGCCACGGGAATCGAATCCAAGCGCGACCGAGTCTTGGGGGTGGCCCACTTCGGCATCAGCCCCAACAGCAAACCTAGAATTCTAGGTTCCCCCACGGACCATATCCCAAATGCCTGGTCCAGGCTTTCCCGAAAACGCCGCCACAAGCAAAAAGTGCGACCCTCTTTGCCTTTTTCCAACGGAAACCCCTGAGGTCCAACCCACCCCCCGGTGGCAAAACCCAAAAACCAAAGCTGGGGCCGGAGGGCGCTGGCCAGCGCAGGAGAACTCGGGGTCTTTGCTGCCCTTCGCCTCTACGCTGCAGCTCCTGCAGAAGGACGGCCGATCGGGACTCGATCCGGATCGATGGGCCCCTTAAAATTGAATGGTGGGCCAAGTGGGGTGGGGGGCTCACTTTTCAAGTAAGGGCCGGGGATATCGATGGGTTGGTTGCGTAAGAGTCCCGGACGTGGTTTTTTGTGGCTGATGCTCAGCAGGGAATGAGAAATGGAATGACCCCGAGAAAAACCGTCTTCTGTGGTTTCCTTCACCGATAAAACCCGAGGTTCAGTCCCAACACCCTGGGTCATTCCCCACTTAGCAGCAGCAAGTTGTTTTTTTCCCGACCTGTGACCGCTTTGTGCTTGATCCAACCTTGGGAAGATGTTGGTCAAAGGCTGTCCGAAAGACGAAGGGGCATGAGCAGAAGTGATTGTCGGTTGCACATATTTTCCCGATGTTAATTTATGTGGAGCTTCGAACGAACGTTATTTCGAACAAAAGTCATGATGTAGTCATTTCTTTGGGGGATCCATTTCAGGCTCAACCAACCTGGTTACCCCTTCACTCTGTGGGTTTCCTCTTTCCCTTTTAGCGCTTCTCTGCCAGCAGGCTGGTGCCCTGATCTATCCTGAAGTCTTTCAGCTCAAAGATGCCCTTGGGATGGCTCGAAAGGGACAATGCGCAAACCAATTTTCCGGGTCCATGAGACAAATCGTCAAACAGGGAAACCTCCCAATGTTGTGGTTTTCCTTGCCCTGCCGAACCTCAACAAAAACGCGCAACGCCCAAGTAGATCTCTTTGAAGGAAGGCCGTCATGTTTGGGTTTTCCAAACCCCCGTCCATCAGGTGTGACCTCGAAACGGACCCCCAAAGTCCCACCTTTGGCACGTTGGATCCGGGGGCAGAGTGAGCAACCCAATGAACCAAACGCCCAGGGCGTTCCAGTGGCCACTGAGCCCATTGTCCTCACAGAAGAGACAGGCCGGAGTTCGGAAGTTGCATCGGGATGTTTTGGGGTGTTGTTTTATTTTTGTGTTGAGTGATTCCTGTTCATGTTTGGTTCCGCGTGTTTCTCTTGTTTTGTTTTTGTTGTTAGTGCTCGTGTTTTTTGTTCTTCATGTTGTTTGTCGGGGGAGGTGTTTCGATTTGGTCATGTACTGTGTGTCCTTTGTTTTTGTTGCTGTTTCTGGTGGTTGTGTTTGGAAATTGAAACATGCAGGTGGATGGCTGATTGGCTAGTTTTCTTGGTTTGCTTTCGTTGTAGCAGGTTGGCGCAGATCACAAATTCATGAAATATATGAACGGTGGGCGAGGTAGACATGAACGCTTGTCAGGATCCTTCATTGCTAGAGGTGCTGGCCACGGTCGACCGCCCACCAGCAAAATGTTACTCAAAGCTCTTGTCATTTTCCCCAACGGCTCAAAGCCATGGGGTCTTTGCCCAGATAGACTCTTCAACGGGTACCCTTCCCATTCTTTCCAGGGATCCGAATCTTTTCAGGAAACGATCAATAACCCAGGGGAAACAGCCGGTTTTTGAAAAGAACGATGATTGAAAATAATGGGGAATCAACCCCTAGAACTCTGGTTGGTGGTTTTGGGCAGCTTTCAGGGAGGGTTGAAAAGGAGCGTTCTGCAGGGGGTTGCGGGGGCTCTTGGGGATTCCGCCTGTTTTTTTTACCATTGCGGTACCCTAGTTTAACATCAAGGGAGGTACTCTCTTGCGGATTGACATGGAATTTAACAAACCCAGGAAACAGTGATTGATACGCACGGGCATAATTCAAGGTTCGTAAGGATTGTCATGTTCCCCCCCAAAGTAGCGTATCTTCAAACATCAGGATTGCCTCCACAATGAGACCCCCCATTAAGCAACCGGGGCTCGTCAAAAGGGAAAAAGGCGGAATGCCAGTAAAGAGCATGAGGGTCCACCATTGGGACTTTTCGCTTTGAACATGCCTCAATATGAGGCCGGTGAAAAGCGAAACAAGCTTCCCCAAAAGCACATCGGACAATTTGCGAGTCCCCGATTTTTAAAATGTTTATTGAGTCCCCCCGTACCCCCGCCCCTGCCCCCCAGGAAAAAAACAAACAAACAAAACAAGAAAATATCGAGAAAATAACGAGAAATATTCATAGACAATTCAGAATATGTTGACCTAACGGAGTGTATTTTTGAGGGCACATGCTTGATTGTGGTGTCAAAAGAAACCAAAGGGAAGACGCCCACACCCTGGTCAAAACACATCGGGACCCTTTCTTGGTAGGTACGTGGTCACGTTTTTTTGTTTTTTGTTTTGCCTCGAACATCCCGGTTATCCTGCTTCCGATTAGTTTTTGGTTGGGTCGGCCTCGGCAGCTTTCAGGGAGGGGTCAAAAGGAGGGTTCCGTGGTTCCGGGTCTGTTGGGGATATCACTTGGGCTTATTTCCTCTTGGTTTCCCTTCAAAGCATCCCGACAAGCTGTCCACAATTTTGGCAAAATCCGCTTATGAAGTTGAATCCTGAGGCTCACGACCCGGAGCCTGTTTGGGCCTATCGACCCCATAGCTTTCAGCTTTTGGGGAACAACCCACTGTTGGGGCTCCCCTCAAAAAAGCAATCCCAATTGGGCTCACCCGTGGCACCACTTCCTGACTGCCGCCTTCTGACTGCCTGACTCCTAGTTGGGTTTGCCTCAAGCTTAGGAAACGGTGTGCTGTTTGGTTTCCCCTGACCAACCAAAAGGTTTTTTGTCTCAAAGCAAAAGAGACACCCATACCCTATGGCACCAAATTAGGACGCCCACCAGAAATGTGGTTGTGCTGTTGGTTTCCCCAATAATCCACCCCCAAGCGATTTTCCCAAGAAGAACACGGCGCGCCCAGTCCGAGAAGAAAACACAAAGCCACACCCGCAGCTTGAGGCGAGCGGCGCTGGGTCTTGCCCGGTGGAGCAGAGCTGCGCCTGCTGCGATCCAGGAGAGCTTCGGTCGCTGAGCGCAGCGGAGCGGAGTTTGGGGTGGTGGTGGTGTCGTTGTTTTTCGGTTTTTCTCAGCTGAAAGCTCAGGTAACCCTTAGGTGGTGGGGTTTGGATTGGTGGCTTGGAATTTGAACCCCTGGAATTTGTAGAAGGTAAATGGTTTCGCTTTTTTGTTTGTTTTTCCTCAGCTGACAGCTATGGGCTATGAGCTATGGGCTATTCTGCTCAAATCAGTGGGTGTTCGGGGTGGTGTCGTTTTTCCTGAGCAGCTGAAGGCTATGGAGGGCGACATTCTTAGCCCAGCTGAAAGCCATGGATTGGGTCGAGAATCCCAAATCAGCGCTGGTGGGTGTTTCTGTTTTGCGGGGAAGCTGTCAAGGTTCATAAGGAGATTCGGTTCCAGGCTCTTTGCTGGGGCTGCTTTTGATAGGCCGGAGAATCCGCCGGTGAACCAGAAGCCCCGGAGTTGGTGGTTTAGAATTTAGGGACCCGAAGCAGGAAACGAACCTTAGCCTCCGAAACCCCAGCCGAACTCCTGGGCTTGCTACGCCAAAATACCCGCTCTCTTCGGGTGTGGCAACCCCTGACGCAAACTGGAGATTTGTTTTATCATGGACAACCCGGGCTCAGGTTGGGATGATTCCTGCATAGAGTCTCAGTTGGGGCATGGTGCTTTAGTCGGCTTACACCCCCAGCCCAACTCAGTTTGTTTCGTATCGGGGGCATGATTGCTGGTTTCGCTGGGTTTCTGCAATGCGGTTTTGCTGTTGGTGCTGCTTGTCGTTTCGAGGTTTCATGTTTGTTCGATCGCTTGTTTGGTTGGGGAAGGCGTTTAGTCTTTGTTTGGGACGCATTCGGTGTTTGTCGGTTGGTTTCTGCCAAACCTTGTTCACCGCCGGGGGGAACAAAAACAGATCTGTGTTTCTCAAAAATAGGTTGGCATCAAAAGGGGATAAACCCATACCCTATTTGAGACACCCACCCTCCCACCCAGACACCCACCCCCATCCACCCCACCCCCCGCCAACCAACCCACCCACCCCACCCTCGCAGCCCCCCTCCCCATCCACCCCATCCACCCCTCCCCCCGCCCCCCGGGCATTCCGCCAGACACGTGGGCAGCAGCACTGCCGAGCTGGCGGTGGCCGTCTGGTCTTGGCCCCACAGGCGGGCTGAGTCCGCAAGTCCGCGAGCTCAGCGATGCGGGGTACCACGTCACGAGCGAAAGCCGCGCGAAAGGTCCTTTAGATTGTGGATCCAATGCGAAAAATTCAGCGTTTGGAATTATGGTAACAGAATGCAGAAGTTGAGTTCCTTTTTTGGGGTTTGAAACTCCACCGTTAGAACAATGGTTGGGGTTCATATCTGTCTGTGTGATTAAATAGGTGTCGGACGGCTGTTGGATAGCTTTTCAATGGAAAAAAACACAAGTAAACCAACCACGAGGCGTTGGTCCGGGTTACCGTTCAGGACTTTCATCATCTGAATTGGGTCAAGCATTCTCTTGATGGGTTGAAGCCTGGGGCCCCTTTGTTGGAGTCATAGGCGCACCTGAGAGGGTGAAAGGCGCCCGTAGTTCGGACACACTGATTTCCGTATAGTTCCCTTATGTGGTAGCTTGAACTACCTTTTTGGTTGCCATGTTCAAAGTGTCTCAAAATAGCGGGCCTTGTTTGGATGGTGGTAAACGGAAACCAAAGGACACCTACTCAGAGGAATTTGTCCCCAATTTTGAAAAACTCACTTCCTGAGTTGTTGGGCTAAAGGTCACTTTTTGGGCCGAGCCTTTGCGCCAGGCTGCGAGGCCTACCCTTCCAAGACTTGAGCTGCTATTGGCAGAGCCTTGGGCCATCTTCTCGGGGGTCCGAGTCCAGGGAATTCATTCTAGGGGACACTTGACACTTTCCAGGGATCAAAAAGCCTTTCCAGAAAGCCGGCAGATTTGTTTCGGGGAAACAGATCCATCCGGTTTTTGAGAAAAGAACGCTGGTTGAAGAGAATGGACAAGGAATCAACCCCTAGAGGAATTCGAGCTGCAGATAACTCTGGGGACTTGATTCAGGGACCCATGGGGAACTAGGGTCCCCCCAGCTAGGTGCCCGACCTCTTGCCCCTTTTTTGGTTGGGTGGGTTCCCAAGTGGGTTCCCCTACTAAATTAGACCACAGAAAAAAGGGGAGGAGGACCTAGATGTGAGATTTCGGCTTGTGGCTTCCAAGAGGCCGAGAAAGATGGGAGTTGTCCCAAGCCAAGCGGCTATGTTTCTGGGTATCAGCCACAACCAATCTTCCGAGATCGAAGCAGCGCCTTTTTTTCAGGGAAGGCCGCCCAAAATGGAATGTCAAAGGGAGGACCATTCGAATTTCGCAAGGAATATGGTTTCGCGGGGTCGTTGCCGCCAACCAGCCCACCCACCCAACCAGCCAGCCAGCCAACGAGCCAACGCAGGCAACCAATCAAACCAACTAGCCAGAGCCGGGTGGGTGGGTGGGGGGGTGGTAAGGGGTGGTAGGGGGTGGGGCTCATGACGTTGCAGCGGGGCTCCGGCCAGTCTTAGGAGCGCCAAAGGCAACGACCTCGGCACGGACATGCCGAAGCCCCAAGGGGGTGTGATGGGATGGGCTGCAGAAGGAAGGACTTGGTGTGATAGGGAATCACTTTCAGCGAGCTTCCGGGGTTTGGTGGAAGCTGGTTTTGGGGGATTTCCCGAAAGGAACGCGATCCTAATTCGAGAAGAAACACACACATCAGCAAACAGGCGCAGGCAGGAAGGACAGCAGGCTGAACAAACAAACCAAACAAGCAACAAAAAGCAAAGAAGCAAGGACTGAGCGACTGACTGGCAACGCGCTTTCTCCTTGCGCCTGCACTAAATCCGTGGTTTAGATTGGCCCAACTGGGGTCCCGGCCCAAGCCGTTAGCTCAGGTCCCTTTTAGGTCCAAACTACCCAAGGCTTCCGCGCTTCCTTTCTGCATTGTAACCTAAGGGTAAGAACCCTCATGGTCTCTCACCCTCGGTTGACCCATGCTTAAATTTGGGTGTTGGCCCCTTTTTATTGGAAGCCCTCCCAATGGTAAAACCTGGGGCGAAGAAACCCGAAGGCTCTAACGTTTCGCTTCGAATCGCCGATTTCGCCACTCGGTCCCAGGGGTCTCATACGCCATTGAAACTCCGAACAGCCGAACGTTTCCCTGGGGTTTGTTTCAATTTCCTGCTCTTCAAGTTGTCTTCTTCGACCTCTTCCCCAGGTGCTTGGGTCCCAAAAGCTTTAACGTAAGGTTAAGGTTGCCCCTTGTGGCGAACTCTCGTCCAGGTTTCCTGAGGCTTCCGTTCGGTGATTGCGACCTACCGCAAAAAGCCCAATGATTCCATTTCCCTGTAGGCTTGATTGCTATTGGGTTGGGTTGGATCTTCAGTTTTTACCTTTTTGGGGGATTTCAAAGGCTTTCCAAGAAACCCGCAAGAGTACAACTTTTTTCAGAGGGGTCAACGGCAACCAAGTATTTGAGCCTTATTTGGTGATTTGGATTGGTGGGAGCTGGGTATTTGGAAACGTCCTCGATGGGAAACCAGCGGACCTCCAAACTCCAAACCACCAGTCCAACGCAAGAGGGCAGCTGATGCGTGGTCGGAGTAATTCCGTGTCAACCGTAGATACATGTCGTCCAAGATGTGTTGCTGATCAGACTTGAGTTACTTGCACGCGCGGGCACACCTCCATACCACGCTTCCCTATAGAAAAAGCCAAAAGGGAAATGGCGAAGAGCTACCTACTAGAGTGGCTTGCCTGCGATGCATTGGGAGCTGGGTAGGGGTTGATTCCCCATTCCTGCATTCTGTTCAAAACGCGGTTCCCTAAACTCTGGGGTGGTTGGTTTGCAAAGAAGGACCTTTGGAAAGACATGTTGCTCGATTTCCCCACGAGCAAACATGAAGGTTTTGCGAGGGCCAGTTCGCTCGTGTTTGGGGGAGATCCTTTGAGTGGCAAATACGTCGCAGGGAGTTTATGCCCAGTTGCCCAGTGGTGCCCTTGTTTCCTTTTTTGGGGAACGGTTTCCCTTTAAAGTCAACCACCAAAAAATATGTTTTTTTTTTTCCTATGGTCATGGGCATCTGAGTATGTGTTCAAAACGTTTTGCACAAGACCAGCTTCCGGGCTTCAGGCACTATGCGGGACTAGTTGGGTAAAATGGAGCTCAGACTCGGGCTAATCCTCTTAAGTGAGCCAGTGAGCCATCAAGCAGGTTGTGAATCTCGGGTTTCGCTCCGGTTCCTGAGGACAATGTGGGAAACAAGGTTTCTGTGAGAAGGGGATCGGCTTTAAAGTGGCAAAGTCGTCATGAGGCTGGTCCACTTTATCACAAGCCTGATTTTCACTATGATGTGCGCCACTCGTTTGCCACCCTCTTTGGGGAAGCAAAGGCAACTGGATCGCCAGTTGCCGGTATTTTTTCCATGCACTTTACCCCAAAAACCAGCAAGAGTGACTGAAAAAAGCAGCAACTTGGCTATCTAGGGGGATGCTAAGGGTAGGGCTCCAAAACAGCAAATGCCTGAGTGAGGTTTTTTCAGTTTGAGGACCTCCGCGGTGGAGCACATCATCAAGCCTGACACCTTGCTGTCCCAAAGTTCGCTCGCGGAGCTGCCACTCGCAGAAAGTTGGGGCTCGCGCGGTTCACGCTGGATGTGTCCCTCAAGTTGCCAGGGCAGACTTCCTTCCCGGCTTTGATTTTGAAGATCACCTGTTGGGCGAGTTTAAAGAGGATGTGTCAGGAGGAAGTATGGGTATGGGTCAAAGTTAAACCACCAGAGGAACGAAGGTTGTAGTCCTTGTTTCCATTTACCAGGGCAAGCCATTTAGGGTTCCTAGGTTTGACCCACACCCATATAGGGAAACCTTTTTGCTTAGGGATCAAATGTCTAAATTTGTCCACGTCGCATGGGGGCAACCCTGAAGCAGGCGAAGCCATGGCGTTTTGGGCTCCCCGGGAAGGATGGACTTGAGGAAAACGCCCGATCCATCGGGACGATTAAGGGGTTGGGAAGGCGGGTTTCTTTGACAAAAGTATAGTAGTTTCTTTGTTCCACAGGCTCTGAACACGCTGTTCACGGGCTTTTGAGTGTTGGTGGCTGTAAGCTTAAAACCGGAAGCCGAGGGCGGCCACAAAGGAAGCAAAGCAAGGAGGCCCAGATCTTCATACCTTTTTGCCACCCGTGGCCCCGGCTGATTTCCAGGAATGCCAGTGCCAGTTGCGGCTTGCGCATTCGTCTTATGGGGGGGAACCCCTATGGGTGGTTTTTTGGAGCTCCTACTCAACCTGAGAAGGGTTCCCCCACAAACATACGTGGGGGTGTCTTAAAATAGGCTGACCTTCAATTGCCGTTTTCTCATTGGTTTCCCTAAAAAAGACACTGACATACCTGGGAATCCCAAGGGGTGTAAAATTTCCGCCTTTTGAACGAAAACTGCTTTTTGAGTCTGGGAACATAAATTTCTGCCTCCAGGCGTTTTTGGGGGAAACTGACTTTTTGCAAGGTCAAGCTGGTTGACTGATTTTTACCAACGGCGTTTTTCGCCAATCAAACGACGGCGTTTTGGGGGACAAAAAGCGTTTTTTGGCAGCAACGGCGAAAAATAGTGCAATTTCAATCAGCGGCAGAAATTCAGCACCGCCGGGCTTTCCAGGTATGCAACAAGCACACCAAACCCCAACGACAAGAGTCGAAGGATATGCCTGGCACACCCCTCCAAATCCCAAACAGAGCAACGTGCAGAGGAGCGCTTTGGGCGGCGTCCCTCTTTTTGCGTCGCCCCCGCCCCAACGTCGCACCGTCTTCCGTTTCACGAGGTACGGGCCAGGCCCGGTGCAGACGTTCGTGTCGCACCACTGGGGCCACGACGCGGCTTGGCGTTGCAACAGGAGCAAGAGCTGGGCAAGCGATGTATGGTATATCACAGGCTTCTCGGACTTCTCGTGGCAGAAAAAATATTTAGCACCAAGTCCCAACGTGTGAAAGTTGGCGCACTTCCTCCAATTTGGCCAGGGTCATCCCCGGAATCCCACAAATCTACCGGGAATTGCAAGCCAGCCACTTTCACCCCCTGAGGGAGCTGGGTATAACAACGTCACTCGGGACTCAGGCGAATTGGGACGTCCCTGTTGTCCCTGTTTTTCGGGTAACTTAAATTATGTTTACTTTGCCCAGAAGGAGTTGCTTCCGGTTGATTACTTTTCGGAGTTTTGTTGAAAGGAGTACCACGACCTGCCCAACATGATAGGAACGCGCACATGCCCCAGGTGAGAACATCCCCATTCTTCTGTTTCCTGCCCAAGAACACATGCATGCTCGAAACGATGGGGTTTGCATTCTAGCGTATCCATGACCAGGGAACGCGCGCATGCCCAAAATGACAACGTCCCCCGTTCTTCTGTATCCATGACCAGTTTCACGCAAGCATATTCTCGTATGTTTACAGATGCACAGGCCAGAGGTACTTGCTGAAGCCGCCTTGGAAGTGTGTTCCCCAAGAAATTTAACTCGGGTCAAGACATTGTAGGCGTGGAACCCTTGATCATGTCCCTTGCTGACTGCTGAGAGCGCTGCCGATGTGAGTGGAAGACGTTTGAGCAGGGCGCTAAGACTTTTGGTGTCCAACCCTGTATGGCCCAAGCTGGTCCGAAAAGACCAACGGGCGTGTCCTTCTTGAAGGGTGCCAGGGTTGGTTTAGCAGCCGAAATCCATTTTTGGAAGGCTTGAAAAGGGAGAGGCAAGGTCAACCCCAAAAGGACAAAACGAAAGGGACGAACCCCAAAGGACCTTCCTCTCAAAGACTAACCCCGCCTGTAAAGAGAGGATTCCCTTGTATCACAGAAGTGGTTGGATAAACCGCGAGTGATCCCACAACCCTGGACAAACCCCAGGGGACCATTTGGTTAGGAAGGTTTATTGTTTTTGTTTTTTGTCTTTAAAGGGAATCGATTTCACTGGACACAGTTTTTTTTTTTGCCGGGGGCCCAACAAACGGAAGCAAGGGGCCTTGAAAAAGGACCAACCGAGGTCAACGACCTCTTCGCAGCTTTAGCCCCGCTGGCTGGCGAGGGAGCACGTTTCTGGCTCGCGGGAATCTCGGTGAATCACTGGCGCCCTGGATGCACGGGAGGGGAAGAAGCATGGTTGTTGATGGGAAACATGTTTACATTTTTGCTTATTGTGGTTTAGTGGTTGAAATCCAACCCCTGAACTGCTAAAGTTTGAACATTTTTGCTTTCCTTCCAACGTCAACCAAGCAAGTGGGTGTGGCTCAAAAACAAAAATAGCCAGGGCAAACCACAGGAAATCCAGTCTTTGGTTCCATTTGCCAGGGTGACATTTTGGGATTCCATTTTTTTGACCCATACCCAAGCAAGCAGGGCGAGTCTAATTGAAAAGGCGTTGCGATGCGTGATTCATCTTTGCCTGCTCGGCCTTTCATGTTGTTTGTTTAGTGCACCTAGTGGTAGGTGTATGCCACAGGCAAGAATCCTTTGCGTTTCGTCTCAGTTTTGTGACGGACCACGTTGACCCTGGTTGCGCTATGTTGCGCTAAGTTTTCACTTACTCAGGGGCTTTTCGCTCGTGCTTTGGCTGGAGGTAGAAGAAGCCAGCTTGAGGCAACCATGAAACTAACCCTGGGAATGTCTCTTTGACATGAGCAGCGCTGGATGTTAAGTCACCCCACTTCGCATGTGGGCGTGTGTGCTTTTGAAGGGTGCCTTTGTGGCGTGGTGCTAAAAGGACACCAGAAGGACAACCACCAGTTTTGCCTGTTTTAAATGGGGGTGTCACAAAGAACATTTGAAGCACAGAACAAGCACATTCATAGTTGAAGAGCACTGACAAAATAAGTTGTTGTTTGGGATCGTCACCATCATGTTTGATTGTTGAGCGTTGCTTTTGTTGCCAACGAGAAACTTCAGGATGGGTCTGTGTGTGCGTTACGTATTATTCGTGGGTCTGCTGATAGAAAGGCATTGTTTGTGTAAACTGAGAAGTCCGGAAGAGAAGACATCGAACGCATTCCAAGCTTTTAGAGAGGGTCATTTGTCCACGCGGGTGACAACCTGATGCGTTTTCACCCCCTAACTCTAACCGCCCACAACCGCAAAACCCGCACACCCTCACAACATTCACAAGGCCCCACGACAGCCCACAATCCCCACCAACACCCACAGCCCCCACAAAAGCACACAAACAATGTTCCAAACTCGCACTTCCAAAACAACTACACAAATCCCCAGACCAAACCCAAACCCCAAACCCCACAACAAAGTGACCCCCAGCTAACCCCCAAACCACAACCCAAACCCCAAATTTGCAGGTTCCGGACCCTTGAGGCGTAAGGAGCAGCGCGCCTTCGCAGCCGCTCGGCGCAGCCGAAGTGCGCAAAGCCGGGAAGCCGAGGGGGTGCCGTTGGCTTGACCCCCACGACGCACTTTCTTGAGCTGAACTTTAGTGACCACCAACAACCACCAACAACAACCAACAACAACCACCAACAACCACCAACAACCACCAACAACAACCAACAACAACCAACAACAACCAACAATTTGGTTTGGATCAATTTGGTACTGACCCCATAATACTGCAACTTCTTTTTAGGGGCGTGGGGGCACCGCCAAGAGTCTTCGCGAAACCCAGGGACACCGGGACCCTGTTAATAAGCGCAGTGCGGAAAAAGTGGGGTCAACTTCTGTTAAACACGTTCCTGCCATCAAGGTGGGGTCAACATTAAAAGTTCCTGGTGACTTCTTTTTGGCGGAATTGAGAACCGGTGCTTGGAATTCACCGTGAAGAGAAAAACATCGGCTATTCAAAGGCCATCCGCAAGATCCCTACCTGGGGTACGTATACCATAGTTTGGTTTTATCATGAGTGGTGGTTCAAAGTGAGTTCCTTTTGGTGTGATTTAGGAGGAAGCGATTTGCTCACTCACTAACTGGCTGGTTTTTGGTATGGCACATGAGGCTTGGGATCGCCAGCTTGCCTGCCAGAAAAGAGTTGGCAGAATCCACCAGAATGGTCCAGAAAACTTTGCACCCAGATATGTTAGTCTTGGGTTGTTTGGGGGTTTTCAGAAGGGTGTGATCTGTTCTTTTTGGGCGGGTAGATGACATCAAGTAACATGGAGCCCATGTAGAGGGTTCCCTTTGAGAGGAAGAATGGTCTTCCAAGGTCCTACCCCCGAGTCAGATTCCACGTTTGTCGGGAGGGATCGAGCCCAGGCTACCTTTTGAGCTGCCAATGAGACCGTCAGAATTAGGTGGGAAGTGGTGAATCAACTGCTGAGTTTGAGTAGCTTCAAAGGTTTCTATATCCATGATAGGCATCCCTCTAAAAACACATCCCGCTGGAAATGCCTGTCCGCTTCCATGGTTGTTGACAAGCGGGTACTTGTCGTCAAGGTTCCAAAAGGTTGATGTGGTTTGAGTGTGCCCTTCTTGCGGTTGGTTTAAATGGAACCTTAAAGGAAACCAACATTTTTTAGGGCCGCCCTATTTTGACACACGGTGTTCGGTGGTCTGGACAGAAGGATCCCCGACTTCAGCGAGAACTAGTCTTTTTCCCCTGAAGGAAGTCAGAAGAGTTTCCTTTTGTTGACCTGATTGATGCAGACCCTGAATTTGTCAACCTGGCGGATTCTTTCTGCGCGCATAAGCTTATGATTTTCCAGATTTGTTTACCACCCAATTAAGAGCATTTTGGGGCGTGTTGCCTTTACAGCTGCACAGGCAGATGTTAAACTGCACACCCTGCTGCGTCGCATTGTTTCATTGATCACATGCCTGTCCGTTGTCCCTGAGCGTGGTCTCAAGTAGACCTATCCAACTGGTTGTTGTCCCTACCTTGTTCTTCCAGGGACTCTGAAACACTCCCGGTTTCAAATGACAATGGGCATTATTCTACAGGGGATTGGGAGATCAAGATGGGATATATCAGGAACATCCATCAGTTGTGCTCTCTATGTTGCTATGGTGAAGTCATATCGGCAAAGGGAAGGGTGTTCTCAAACGGTGTTTTTTGTTTTTTTGAGGGGGAACCCTCTTGTGGTAGAGAAAATAATTTTGAAATAACCCTTACAGGATGCGTTTTTTTTTAAGGGTGCCACCCAAAATCGTCAGTTTCCTCTTTGTTCCACTTTTTTCAAGCCTACAAAATCAGAACAGCCAACAAAAGCTGCTTGGTCGGTGTCCTCTTGGTTCCTTTCTAAGCTGTTGGTTCCCCAACAAGCGTTCTCAAAAACAAAAGAAGCCCAAATCCCAGTTGCCCAATCGAATCCGCCCTTTTTTCTCTCTTTTTTTTGTGGGGGAAGGTTTCCGATTCCTTTAAACTCAGCCACCCAAGAAGCTCAGCCAAACAAAAGCCCACAAAAAATGGATGCCCCTTTTTCCCCATGGAAATCCACCGGGCCTCTGAGTTAGATCGACGGATCGACGGCCACGGCGGCCACGGCAGCTCGACGTTGACTCGCCAGGTCTGGCGCTGGTGCTCGGCCCGGACGCAGCCGCCCTGCAGCGAAGGCGTCGGGACGCGAGCGGATCTGAGAGCGGTCCCCGGCCATTCGAAAACCTCGGGGTTTGAGTTGGTTTGAGTTGGTTTTACTCGATTTTAGGTGGTGTTGAATAGTCGGTTTTAGTCGATTTTAGGGGTGTTGGGTGGTTTTAGGTGGTTTTAGGTGATTTTGGGTGGTCGTATAGGTGGTTGGGTGTCCAGTTCGCCCATTAAACGTCGGTCACTTTTAGCAGGGGATCTGAGGACGGATGAAGCTTCAGTGGTTTCCAGCAACCACCAAAAGTGAAGCCTTTAGCGATGGGGATTTGGGCGCCGCCCAGATGGAAGCTGCGCTTCTTTTTTGGTTCGGGGAAGAATAATGGGACGGTGCAAAACCGGCCAGACATCCCCTTTGTCAGTTTGCTTTGAGCATGGGTAGAATCAACTGACCCAACATCAAACCTTGGGGGTAGACAGTTGGATGCTTTTGGCTTCCTTTCCACGCCAACTTTCGACTTTCGACCTGTGCGATGTCTTTAAGAGATACGCCAGTCAAGTTGGAGTCCTGTTTCCTCAGCTGCGATTTCAAATGTCCAACCAAATGGAAACCAAAGGGGGCGATCGGCAATTTCCAAAAGGGGCACAAAACCCATAGTTATGTGTAAAAGGACGCCGAAAGGGCATGCATGGGTAGCGCTATTTTGAACAAGAACAGCATTCCCTATCCAGACCCAGTAGGGTTTTGGCCGCTCTTGCGCCAGGTGGTGTCTCTACGAGGTGCTCGCCAGCGATTCCACGGACGGAGGCGCGGTTTTGGACCAGTCCTGAGGCATTCCCAAGACTCATGTTGACTCCCGAAGTGTAGAGGGGTACTCTCTTTCCAATCATGGAGGTGGCTTAAGCTTTTCTCTGCCGACATGGTCCACTTTATTTGGAAAGAGGGTACGCTTCTTGTGGCCGCCAAAGAGAACCAAAGGGCAAATCACCCATTTCGAGGTAGATAGCTACACGATAGCTACGCGACAAGAAATTGGCAACACCCTATGGGATGTTGTGCCCTTCGACATCCACCGACATCGGGGACACATGAAAACTAGCATCCATCCGGCTCAGGGGGAATTCGGGGCTGAGCAATCAAAGGCGCTCAAAGGCTATGGGGTTCTGGGTTTCCTTGCAGCGGCCATAACATCCGTGTAGCGGTGTTCTGTCCAAAATGTTCAGCCACCCATCGAGAATGGACAAGGGGGGCCAGATGGCCGAGAAGTGGACGGCTGGAGCTGGGTGACTGGATTGGATTTCTTGGAGGCTGGGCTGCTGAACTTGGGGATGGACTGCAAACCTGAGAAAAAAAATAGCAAAAGGGGCTCAACTTCTGTCAACCAGCGAGTGCTTGATATTCGTCCCTTTTCTGCCTCAGAAAAGTCTCGGCGAATCTGTTCAGCTTGGCGAAATGTGAAAAAAACATCTCAGGCCCTGTTTGCCGTCCCCTGCGGTTGGGCCAATTGACAAAAGAAGGCCGCGCGCCAAAAGAAATGGCGCAGAAGAAGCTGCTTGACCCAGGACCTTTGTACACCCTGGAATTACACAAACAAATCCAAGCTCTAGCCTTTTTCCAGAGAAACCTTTCTGATTCCAGATGGTTTTGTGTCTTGTCCACGGGTGTAACTGCTCTGAACATTGCCGGAAGTGGCCCTATCTTCCCCGAAACACATGGGACAAGGGCCAGTTCCACTGTGTGTAGCTCCGTCCGGTAATGATTCTCAGTTTTTTTCCTTAAGCGGCCGTTGTTGGCATCTGCGCTACTCACTATATCTAGGTTTATTCGCACGAAGCGCACGGGCTTCAGGGGTGGCAGGCCAGTCAGCAGTGGAAACAATGTAGGTGAAGGAAGTAGCGCAGATGTCAACTACGGCCGCTTCAGAAACACGGGGAATCATTTGGATGGACACAGTGGAGCTGGCTGGCCCTTGTCCCGTTGCATCGGGAAGCCACGCGGAAGGTTTGTTTGGGTCGCGATCGTGGGAAGCCAGGTGTTTAGAGGGAAAGCCAAGGGCGTGATTTTCCTCCTTTGTGTCTTGGTTTGGGCGCATCCCTGCGCTTTTGGGCCAATTTCAGAAGAGCTTCTTTCTGGGTGATGCCTTCAAATTGGAAGTAGAAAGATAGGGAGCTCGGCGATCCCCCAATAGGGGCCGTGCGTTGACGTGCTTCCTTGGGTGGCTTTTGTGGCGGAGTTCATTTTTTTGTGTTTGGGTCCCTATGAAAAGCATTGTTCATCGCAATAGGAGCTGAAATAGAGGGTAACAACATGACCATGAGTTTTACTAGGGAACCACCTCAAGATTGATTAGACATGAACCCTAAACCCTAAATGATGTCCACCAAAGGGACCCTAATTAAAGTTCATAGCAAAATGTTAGGACTTTTTTTTTGCCAACTGATGGGTTTTCCGTATTAAACCACTAAAAGTTAATCTTTTAGCAGGGCTTCGCAGAAAGCAACCGAGTTAGAAGGTAACAAAAAGAGCAACCGTCTCTCGGCCGCTTCCCGGGACCCCCCGCTTCGAATTTCGGCGGCTGGGTCTGACGGATGCCAGAGGCGATGCCTTGACGCTGCAGCTCTGCGCGCCGCAGGGGCTGCTCAGCGAGGGCACCGGCGGGATGCCGGTGAGCCCCTCGCTCCGATTTCGCTTTTCTTCTTGTGTTTTTTTTTGGGGGGGGGGGCGGGGGCACTCAGATTTTGGGGTGTCTTGAGACTTTGTTCGTTTTGCGGCTTTTATCTCTTTTCTCCTTTCTTTTTTTTGTTTTTCTTTTGGGGGGGAACCAAGTTTAGGCGCGTCTTGAGTTTTTTTTCGTTTTGCATGTTTTTTGTTTTTCCTCTTTTCTCCTTTCTTTTTTTTGGGGGGGGGAAACCAAGTTTAGGGGTGTCTTGAGATTTGTTTGGTTTGAGGGGGGGCCGTCAAATTTGATTGTGTCTTTCAATGGTTTGGGGGCTGCGATCAAATTTGGGGGTGTCTTCAAGTCGCCGGAAAAACTGGCAGGGATTGTTTCAGCGAGCCTGGGGGGGAAGTCTAGGTTTGGCTGGAGTTCGGTCGAAGCGCAAATGAGCAATGGGGCAGGGGTGTCAGGATGTTTCATGCACCGGGCCAGTTGGCATTGGGTAGGGGGACCGAACATGATATGGTTTTCACTGTTTCCAGTTTGATTGCCCTGTAAGCCAACCCGCAGAAAAGAGGACCCGCCAAAAAAAAACCAAAAAGTTTGGTCAGAAATGATTGGTGGGCTTTGGAGTTTCAACCGCAGCCAGAAAACGCACCATGTTTGTCCCATGCCGTCGGGAAAACAAGTAGCTTTGTGTATCTTCAGATGGCTCTTTCTCAGATAGGGGAGGGGTTCGTGTTTGGGATGGACATTGAAGGCTTCCTGCCTTTAGAGCCTGGGTGAATTAGTCGCTCACTTCCTGATTTGTTCGGACGCTTCCTTGGGAAGACCATTCCAGTGGGCAACAGCAGGTTTGGCCTTCTGCTAGGCCAATCCACTCAGGTGTTCCAACTGTTTGATTTGGTTCGCTTCATTGCTGATGTGGTTGACACGTGGTGCCCTTTGCCATTGCAGTTCATGAGCATTTCAAGGCCACCCTTATTCTCTGGGCGTGTGGCTTTTGATTGGGGCTACCCTTATCGTTTTGCTAGTTTGAAGCAAAACGATAAGGACAGGTTCCTTTTTGTTTGGGGGAAGGGAAGGGGGGAAGGGGGTGGGGTGTTTTTGTATTTGACGCATTACCCTGGTTGTGAGCCTGAAAGTTGCGTGCTCAGGTTACATCCTCCAGGCATGGGGGTGGTGTGGAGGGTGCCTGAATCATGGCTTGGTTCCCTTGGCCTTTGACCAACCAAGGGAGTAGATCATTGGCTTGACCAGCCGGCTCTAGAAGGCAGTCCCTGGCTCTTGATGTCTACAAGCCCAAGTTCCCTGAAACTTAATGCAGGTTCCCCAAGCGTGGCTCTCAATCGCACGGAACGATGTCCCTTGCCCCCCCCCCCCCCAAACACCATCAGAAACTCTTTTTGACTTAGGGTTCTTTCACGGACATGTTGTTAAGGTCCTAGGCGACCACCTGTTTCTAAACGGGGCTGAGCTTTTGACATGCGTGTTCATAGTGGTATGTGTACCTGTTGAGAGTGTCCTTTTGGGCGATGGACCAAGGGGTTCCCTATCAGAAAGGTTGCATGGACTGTGGGATCTATGATTTGAGGTTACCCACTTTCTGTGATTGGCTCTGAGAACCCGTGCACCGTGATAGTGTCAACGACCCTGATTGGTATCCTAAGGTACAGGGGGGGGCTCTACACATTTTGGCAGCCACCAGCGGTGGCCAACTCGGACATGGGGCAAAATGCCAAATCCACTTCCAAGGACCTGGAGACCAACGGGTCCTTTTGGCGGCGATGTCCCGTTTTTTTTTGAACACCAACCCCGACCCCCGACCACCCCCAGCAAATGTTTTTCCTGGTTCTTCCCATTTTGTTTTGAAAAGAAAGGGATTTCTGTTCAACACCGAGTGCCTGTTTCCCCCCCCGGTGTTCCCGCCCCCCCTCCCGGATCCCGGTTTTGGCATCGACCAGGGCCCGGCAAAAAAAATGGTGGCCCGTAACCCGTTTTCGCAGGTGAGCAGCGCCATCAGCACGCTGGACGTGAAGGGCTCAGAGGTCTTAGCCTTCGAAAGGAAACCGGGGAAAAGTGCGGTCCCCCCCACCAAAAACCCAAAGAAAGGGCCCGTTTTTTCCGGGGACAAATGCCCCAAAACGGTTTTGGTTTCTGTTGGTGGGTCCTGTTGGTGGTGCCATGTTTGTTTGGGGGGGTTGGCCTCTTGCGAAACAGGATCCGGAGGGAAACGCAGAGGGGGGTCTATGAAGTGCGGAGCTCTATGAAAGCTCGCGGAATCGATGCCCTTGGCCTTTCCAGGCTTCAGGGCGAACACCACGGTCTTCGCAAAGATATGGCCACGGGTCAAAATCCAAATCGGTTAGCCCCCGAGTGAACATCCCAATCCAACCACTAAAATCGGTTCTAAAATGGGTGGTGAATTCACCTACCCCAAATTGGGATTTCATTGGTTTTCACCCACAGCCATATGGCTATGGTTTTCAATGGAGAACACCCTCCCAAATGGTTGGTGGACATACATCCCCACCTAAATGCTGCGCTGATTGATTTACTTTGACCCCCGGCCATTTTAGGAACCACCTAAACCAAAAGTAAGACCTTTCCAAGGAACTCCCTTGGTATGCGAGTGTCTTTTTGGTTGAGGTACTTAGGGTTGCTTTGAAATGCGTGCCGGGGATCCGGGTTGCTCATTTTCAAGACACCCAAAGCCCGCTAGCACAGAACCTCAGTCAATGGCGCTAAGAGATTAGTTTGTTTTGTTTTACCACTTGAGCCGGCGCAGCCGGTGGGCGAGGAGAACATTTATCGATAATTCTCTGTTCCTTTCTTTTCTTATTGGTTTTTCTCTGAACGAGGCTGGATTGGAAAATGTCAGCGTTGAGGAAATGACAAAGCTTTGTTCGGGAGCGGACAACACCTGTTCGAACACACCTGCCAACAGTTGTTTCCATGCCCCGCAGCGGCTAGCTCAAAGGCGTTTATTCAACGAAAATCACTCGCGAACCCCCCAGCAGCTCTCAGCTGGTGTTGTCTATATAGGGAATCGAAAGGACTGGGGAAATGGACCAGAAGGGCATCCCCTGGGTAACCATCAATAAGCTGGTTCAGTTGTGTTCAGTTTGGGTCATTTCCTCATTCTCTGAGCAGCTGAACACAGGGCCTCCCTGACACGTCGCTGCATTCTCGCACCCCCGAAATGGATTCCCTGCCAAGAACCCAGAAAGGACAAGACCCGGCACTCTGTTTGACACCAAATCCAGTTGGCTTCTCCCCCGTCCGGTGGTTCCTCCATGCGCTGCAAGGTGCAGATGGCTTCGGGCCACTGCGACGAGCTCCGGGAGCTCTTGGAGAGGCGGGACTTGGCCAGCTTCCATGTGCTGAAATGAACATGTGGGGGTTGTCCTTCTTTTGGGGGACTCACGAAAATGGTGGTTCTCCTTCTAGGCTTCCAAAGCCAAACGCCTCCAAGCAAATAGATGTGTAATTTTCACCTGTGGCTTCAAAAGGGAATCTATTTCTGTACTTGTTGTTTGAGGACTTAAGCTGAAATGGAAGGCCCAGTGAAGTGGTCAAGCTCAGAAAACAATGGCCCCTTTGGGCTGTAACAGTTGTAGTAGGGTAAATCCAAGATGGAACTCAAATAGGGATATGTAAGAACGCAACTACAGAAATTCTAAAGGAAACTCGATTGTATTGGATTGGGCGTACCGAAATTCCTGCGGGTTTCCATGCCAAGAAAACAACACTTCCTCGTGTCATCCAGGTGTAAAGCTTTCCTTTTTCAAACCATGTCAGCCTGGAGGCAATCGGCAGTGTGGTGTTTTCTTCCCCGGGTTCGTCAGGTTGGGTCTTTGACTTGCCTCCCACCAGCTAACATGGGTTTGTGCACAGCCTGTAGAAAGACTACGTTCCTCTTGGAAAGGGCCTTTTTGCACTTCCATGTTAGTTGGTGGGAGGGTAATTTGTTTTTGGACATGATGTTGAACTCGAGGATCTGCCAATGTGAAATGGAATGGGAGGGGGGTTAGCCCAGACCCGGCTCGCTCGACGGCTCGCCATTCCTTTCGGCGGCTGTGCGGATGTTGGGGACAGCGAATGGGGGCTTCGGTGTTTGTCTTGGCTTCCAGTTAGAAAACACCTGGATCGCCAGTTGCTGTTTTTTTGTTCCATGCACTTTACTCCAAGAACCAGCAACAGTGACTGAAAAAAGCAGCAACTTGGCTATCTAGGCAACCACAAAAGGGCATTATTGAGAAACGTCATATTTTCCTACTCGGATGGCCCCTTGACTGGCTTGATCCGGCCGGGCAAGTTGCCAAGCTTTTGTTTCAATGACCAAGGCAATGTGACGGTCCTGGGCAAAGGGAATCGTGACTGGATTTCCCTTAAATAAAATTATTGGGTTGACGAATTTATTGACCCAGGAACTACTTGCTAGAACTGCCGGATCTTGATTCTGATTCAAAGTCTACATTAGACGCCGCTACGATTCAGGATTGTGAGGTCTCCCACTTGGCAATGGACCACCAGTTTGGTTGGTTTTCAATTTGGGCTATGCTAAGCCACGGTTCTACGGCTGTGTTGTGAGAACAAAGTGCTCACAGCATGGGTGTGTCTCAACATAGGGGGGACCCCAACAGATGCTGGATTTGTTTTTGGGTTTCCTTTTGAGACCACCCAAAACGCGGTGCGGTCAAGAACGACACCCTCGTATTCCTTGGGTTTATTCCTTCTTTCAGGTCAAATAATTTAACAGAATCAACCCTGCGGGGCATCTGCCGCGTTTTCCTCCTTGATGCCTGCTGGGCGTATCGTTGTCTCGAAATCGGTTGTCTGGATATCGGTGGAGCCTTCCGCCCCAAGAAACGTGGGGGAAACCCCGTGGTTTCTTTGGAACCTGAGCCCAAACGCCCAACGGAATGGCCAAGGGAATCTCCTCAGATAGTGCGAGGCCATGGACAATTTCCATGGCAAAAACTGTGGGGAGGCGGGAACTCCAACCACCCGAGCCCGGGGAAAAGCAGAAAAGCATGGACCTGTCCAAAACGAAACGATCTGTTGGTCTCACCTTTTCGTTTTTGTTTTTTTTGTTTTTTGTTTTTTCCGTCAGGGCCTGTGGAAATCATGGTTCCGAGGTTCCACATGGTGAGTGGTGCTTCCACTGAGTGATACCAAGGGAATCCCCTTTCGTGGGCATAGTGAAAAACATTGGGAGTAGTCACATAGATGGGAATCCCACGAAGGGACTCACACGGGCGGTTTCCGTGGCTTTCCGTTTCAATCCCGCGACAGGGGGGTGATCAATGGGTCCTTTACATGTGATGATTGGGGGAAGCCATTAAAAAGGATGGTAATTCCCGCGAAACGGGGAAAGTTATGCCTGGTCCTGGGTGAATTATAGCGACCTCACACGACCTCACACCAAATGGTGGTTTATGTGGGGAATAGCCCCCCAACCGCCTTGTTTCAGGTTGGTGAAATCCTCTAATTCACCCAGAGGGGCGAAGGGAATATTCATCAATCCCCAGGTCCCACCCCGAGACTCACCAGCCAGAGGGAGCTACTGCTACTGCAGCCTGGTGCCTGGCCACCATTTTCAAGCACCCCTTAGTGGCCATAAATACCACTTCATGTTTCGTGATTTTCTTCTCATTGCCATCATCTTCATCATGTTCTGCTGATGCCAAAGGGCTCAAATTTGGCCATGGTTCAAAGCCAACGGTGCCATTTTGGTTGGTAGGTGAATTCACCACCCATTTTAGTGGTTGGATTGGGTCCCGTTCACTGGGGCTACGGAATTTGGATTTTGAGAAACGCCTGGCCATTTGAACGCCGTCGGGTCGAGTCCCTAGGTCCGGCAAGGGCCCAGTGAACCTGCGGCTCCGGCAGATGCTGATGGAGGGCCTCAGCTCCCACCGCCGAGGCGCTCGCCGCGAGCCGCGAGCGGCGGAAAGTCGCGGTGGGGAGTCGGGTGCCTGGGACTTGTTTGGGGCAGTTCCCTTCCATCAGATGCTTAACTAGGTTCCCCAGTAGTGCCCTTTCACCGTTTATTTTTTGGGGGAGGGTTCCCCTAGTATATATATATATATATATATACGTTCTAACCACTCTACTGGAGGACCTAGTTGAGCACCCTTTGATTGTCGATGATGCGAATCCCGGTAAAGCACGTGGTTTTTGGATTCATCCTTCTACCGGAACCTGACAAGGCGACAATTTTTGCGCAAAGAGAGGGGGTGCTCAAAGCCAAAGTCTGTTCATTTCAACTTTCAGTGGTTGTCCTTATTTAGTGATAGCTGGACCTACCTCGAACTGGGCTTGTCCACGGTAGGGCCTGCTCTTGATTGATGATGCGCTTCTCAACGCCGAGAATGAGGTGAATATCGTCCACCTTTGCTGGCTGACGTGATGGCATCCTTCAAAGCTCTAGGCTTCCAACGGCCAGCGCGAGTACTTGGAGCACCCTCATACGGCAGCGGCGTTGGCGATAGTGTTCGTTTCGGACAGATTCACGAGCCCGTCACGGGGGTCACTTGAACATCATGTGCCGCAAGCCACGCGATGCATAGCTCCACGCACCTTTGATGCGAGGTCCGAGATTATTGGGCAGGCCAGGGCAGATGGACAGGTCGAGTGGGCATACGGAGCCCGGCTTCTCAGAATGCAGGCGCTGCGGGTTTTCGCATGTTTTTGCATCACCGTGTGACCGTCTCGTTTTTTGAGCCGAGATTCTTGTGGGAATAACTTGACATTATGTTTGAGCAACCCTCCATGTCAGGGTCTTTCATTCCCGGAACCCTTGTGGTTGGTTTAAATGGAACCAAGAGGACGTGCACTTATTTCTGGGGGACAAACACTACCTTTCCCACCACCAGTGCAAAAGGAAACCGTGCAAAAGGAAACTGAAGCCCATTTGTCGTGGGTAGCGTTCAGCTGGAGAGTAGAAAAAGCCCTGCAATCGAAATTATTCAGTCTTGGCAAAATTGGCAATGGCTTGGTAGTCCAAGTCGATGGTTGCATGTGGTACCAAACCTGCGTCTTGCCGAATATTTTCCTAGCATAGCAGGTATTGAAGCATCCATGAACGACGTTGTGGCAAATGAGGTGGGGGCAAGATTGTCTGAATTTCTCTACGCCTCATCTGGGGGGGGGGTGGGGTGGGGGGGGGGGGGGCGGCGGGGGTGGCGGAACTAACGAATCTTGCCACACAAAATACCATATTAGGTCCGTAGCCCAAAGGTCTGTAAGAAAGCCTGCCCGAAGTTGTTCAGCACCATGCTTCCCATTAAGCATAGTCCAAAGCCGACCTTTTGACATGTTGGATTTCCCATCTGGCTCCATGTTTCTGGCCCCGAAATGCGATCACCCTATGTTCCAGGTCCCTTTGGGCAGAAAAAGAGATCAACCCAAAAAGGGATTCGTTTTTTGTTGTTTCTCTTTTTCTGCCAGCATCACTGGTTAAAAACTGGTTGCCCATTCTTTTGCGCCCGGGGAATCCTGGTGCCAGGTCAAGAGATCTTCCAGGGTCGAGGTGGGCGCGCGACACGGATTTGCTTCGGATCCGGGCCATGTTCGTAGCTGGGGCTGCTGGGCTTCACGACTTCCAGTGGCTGAAATGTATTTGTGTGGATTTTTACTCCCCTGTTGGTCTTAAAGGGAATTGAAATCTCACTAGAGGATTTCGGTGCTCTTTCTTTTTTGAAAAAATAAACAAGAACATCAAGAATCCGGGGGCTTAAGCAAATGGAAGACTAGCTAGGGCAAGCCGTTAGCATGATAGAACCCAAACTCAATGGTTTTGGGGTGTGTGTCTTTCGCTTGCGGGTACCATTGTTGAACCTGTTTGAAGGTGCGTCGCTCAACTGGTGGACCATCGAACACACAAAAAGCAGTACCGTGACAAATGGAGACGCCCAAAACAGTCTTGGGCCTGAGGTTTCTCTACCAAGGTCCCCATGAGTTTTTTTGAGCGCCTTGTTTTCACACCGTGGCATTTGAAGAAAACATCTTGATGCATTCGGTCCCAAAGAACTGAAGCCCATGAACTACCTGGTTTTTCGAGCGCGTTGAGGGGCGCAGAAACGCCGGGAGCCGGCGAGGTCGCTTTTGTGGGTCAAGAGAATCTTCCACGGGGATTGTTGTTTTTTTCCCCGAGGAGAGACCATTCAAGGGAAATCTTCAGGGGAATCCTTCAAGGACATCTTGCACAACAGCTCGACGCATGGCTGTTGGGTCACCCGGCCAGCATACCAGGCGTGGCTCGCAGCAAGACGGAGCCCTCGGCCTTGAGGACGGAGCTGCCAGGCGAGGCTCAGCGCTGAGCGCCAGTCTCCCAAAACCACGTCGCTCAGGGAAGACTTAAACCCAGGGGTTTCCCTGTTGGGGAAATCAACCACCCCTGGGTTCAAGTCGACTTTGGGGTAGTCGACAGCGGAACCCTGACGTCGCTGACTAATGAATGTACGTATAGGCCAATTGCAACGAGCTCGACCGAGGTACGGCGAGCCAGCGCGTTCTTTGGTAGGGGCTCCGACTTGTCCAATGAATAATTTGCCCAGATGCATGGGGCATGGGAAGGGGGTCCGTATCCATTCTGAGAGCCTCGCTGCACTTGTTCGCATGTTTTTAAAAGACACATTTTGAAGCAACATTCTTGGGGTTTCTTTCCTGAAGGGGGGGGGGGTGCGCGTGTGTGCGCGTGACACAAAGTGCGCCCAAGTCCGTTCACAGCGATGGTTACACTATGTCCAAACTGGTTGTTTCTGACAGAAGCCAGAAAGACTGCAAGCTTCCGGAAGCTGCGTACCTCGCCTACCCCCCCCTCTGCCAGCAAATTTCCACGTAGAACGAACTTTTACCTTTTCCAAAGAAACATAAGGGTCGCCGAGACCATCGATGCTACACTTGGGTGAAGCAATGGTTCATGCGTCCAAAAGGAGCCATCAGACAATCCAATCCCCCCCCGTTCCCAAAATCAGACCCAAGCTCTGATTTGCATGGAAAAAAGCAAACCGTGGGGGGAGCAAGTTGGGTAAACCCTGCAAACCGGCCCTGCAAACATTTCGGCGCTCAGGCCGGGTCAAGACAGAGCCTTCGGACATTGGCCTGGGCCCAAGCCTTGAGATCGGCCCGCGTCCCGTTTTCCTTTGCTTGTCCCATCTGACGGGAAGTCCGGGTACAAAGTTGAATCAAGCAAAGTGGCTGTGCCATGTCCGGCCTAGCCACTTCACGGGATGTGGATCCGTGACTCAAGGGCAGCTCTGAGAGGAGAAGCAACCGGGCCTTCAAACCCTTCAGCCCTTTGAAAGGACCAAGGAAGGTTCAATCAGCGGCTTCCTATTGAAAGGGGCCGCCGAAAAGTGAAAATTATTGGATCCAAAGAAATTAATGCTCGGATCCGAGATGGATGAGTTCCGCCATTTTCCTGTCAAGGGTTTTTCCTGGTCATCCTCACGGTTTCCATTTTCCACTGATGGTGCTCCCACTTCCAATTCCTTTTTGATTGCCGAACTTACTTTAAACTATGGTTTGACATATTTGGAAACCAGCTCCGGACAGCACCCAACACGGCCGTGGGTTCATATGGATATGCGTCAAATAGGAAGACCCCAAACACGGTTGGTTTTCGTTCGGACTTCCTTCCAACCAACCTGGGTTTGTCTCAAAATAGGCGAACCCTCAAAAAATATCTGTGTTCCCCCAAGCTTTCGGTAAAGAACTGCCCACCCCAAAAAAGCGAACCCCCCAAGTTTCAGGAAAGAAAGAACCCAACCCCAGGGGTGGGGAAGCCTCATGTCGCTTTCACAAAACGGGCGCTTTTTCGGGTGCAGGCTACGATACCGCGGCGGAAGACTCCATCGACTTCGACTTGCCCGGAAGCCCAGGAAGGGCGAGAGGGCGGGTGGCGAGCGCGTTGGGTTCAGAGCTGCAGTTCGGCATTGGTGTTCGTTGGCCCGTCCGGTGAATGATGTTTTTCCTGTGGGTGGGTCTGGGTTCAAAAAGGGTCGTCCATTTTGTGGTTCTGATTGTTTGTTTTTTAGTCGGATGTTCCTGTGGCTTGTTCTCTTCTTCGTTTTGTTCAGTGGGTGAGTTTTTTCTGTAGAGTTTCAACCTGTAAAATCGGTTGCCAGGAAGTGTGCCGATTCTTTTGGACCGATGGTCCGAAATATGCTTGTTCAGGGTACCCATTTCTTTTTGGGTTTGGCTAAATGGAGAACCACAAACATGCCACCATGCTTGGGTCCCTCTATGACACATATCCATCTAACGTCCCGCTGTAGCTATTGTTGATAGAAAGATGGATCTAATGTTGTGTGGAAGTCGTTATGAAGTGCGCTGCACGTCGTTGGCTGTAAGAAGTGGCTGCTGATGTGCGTTGTGACTGTAAGAATATTCGCTGCAATATTTATCAGGTATCAAAATGTGTGTTGCTATACTTAGTCATGAGGTGAAATATTAGTGATGAGGTGTGTGCCTGTTGGTAGCTATGATGGGATGAATTTGTGTAAGTTATGTAGCAAGTTGTGTGCAGGAAGTTAGTAGGTACAAGTTATTATCGATGATAAGATGAGATGAAGATTTGTGTAGGCTATCGTGAATCATGGCAATCTTTGGGTGCGAGCCTCCACTTTTTCTTAAACATAATGTACAGTAGTACAGCTGCAAGATGTGCACCCTTCAAGAGTACCTCGTAGAATGTTTGCCTGTACACGTTGGATGGGGTCCAATTCCCCACCCCCCCTCCCCCCCAAAACAGAAAAGCGGTGTGTGTGTGTGTGTGTGCTTTTGCTTCGCGGAGCGAAGCACTTTTAGCCCAGGTTGGATGCCAGCGCTGAAGATGACGCGAAGGAGCCGTGTTTTTCGGTTGAGACGAATCCCAGCCACTCACTTCCTGAGTTTCTGGACTGTAGACTTTCTTGGGGAAGACCAGTTTAATGGCAAAGCAACATGTGCATACCTTGGTGACCAATCTACTCACAACATGGATGTAAAGAAGACGGCATGCACGTTGCACATCCAGGGGCGCTTGTATTTATTTCACAGTTTTTGTCAAGTGTTCGACCTTTTTGCTTGTTTGGCTCTGTTCTTTTTTAGAAGGGGGCTGCAAGCAACACAGTGGTTTGCTACCACACCCAGGGTTGTGAAGTTTAGTGACAAGGATCAAACTGATAAAACGTGTTCGCAGGGACAATGTTCGGGGTTATGACCCAAAGCCTTGAACGTCTTTCGGGCCCTAGGGCACGAGGTTCGTCCACTCAGAAGGTCATCAACGCATGCTACGAGGCTGTGGTTCTTCCCTGTTGCGCATAATTTCGCTCGCGGTTCAAAGAGAAACGAAGTTGGGGGTCCTTCGGAAGTGGAAGGGCTGGGCAGTCATCTACAGCAGAGAGGCATGGGACGGACTTACTAACATCCCATGTCTGTGGGTGAATTATAGCCCCAAATGGTGGTTTATGCGGGGAATAGCTCCCCAACCACCTTATTTGCAGGTGGGTGAAATATTATTCACCCAGATGTCTGGAGACCGAATATGAGCCTGGCTCATTCGAGTTTGGGGTTGGCTCCGCACGAGCTTCTGAAGTGTCCGGCAGGCCCAGCCCCGGGAGGCGCGCGGATTCGTCCCAAAAGCAATTCAGTTGGTCAACGCCGAGGTACCCTCCCAAAGCAAACACACTGGCAACCTGCACAGAGGTCCCCTTTTCTTGTCTTTCGGGAACTGGTCGGTTTCTGCGCAGGTTCCATGTTTGCTTTTGGGAGCGTAAGCTTTTGCGTTTCCCTTTTCGGTCCATGTGTTCTTCTAGTCAAGCTCCCAAAGGTCAGACGTTGATTCAGATCGCTAAAGGCAACAGAGAACATGGAGTCTGATTTAGATGGTTGTTGGAGGAAAAATAGTCCTCCAGGATCCGGGGATCCCATTCAGGTAAAATATGTTTTGTTTTTGTTGTTTTGTATGTGTGTGTGTTTTTTGGGGGGGAGTGCCCCTGTTTGTGGGTTCAAAGTTAGAATCATTGCAAGACGAAAACGGTTTCTTTCGTTGTTGTGTCCGACGCATTGCGGATCAGGATTAATTAGGCGTTCCCCATTTTGAACTGCTCAATTCTTCCGGCACGTTGTCCACTTCGTCCAACTCCCCCGAAGAAGTCTGATCGAGAGTTAGCCATGATTAAGAAAGGTAAGAATCTGGAGTGCTAGTCAGGGGTGAGGGATTTTTGAGTGATTCATTTTGCGGATCCGAGATATTTTTCTTCCGGCTCAATCACTGACTTGCCACCAAAGCGAATCGACCTTTTGGCCCGTTGATTTCCCTTTTTTTGGCCACCATTGGGATTCCCCTCGCGTACCACGTGGCATGCAACAAAGGCCCAAAACCCGCAACCGGGAAGTCCCTTTGAAAGGCTGGCAAAGCGTGGAGACGGGGTCAGGGTCTGGGGGGTACTCTTAAACCAAATTCTGCCATGATAAACGAACAAACATCTCCTCAAATACCCTTGCCCCCCTATCTTCTTTGGTGCGTCTTGCTTGGCTGTCAGGACTTTAACTTTTTGCCAACTAATGGGTTTTCCGCTAAACCACTAAAAGTCAAACTTTTAGCAGGGGAGCAGAAAGCAACCGAGTTATTGTTCGCAGCATGTCGGTGTTGGCTCTGAGGTCTTCGTGCCAGGGCCAGCTCTTGTGGAAGGCCCACGCGTTTGGCCAGCGCCGGCGACGCCGCTCGCGGTTCCACCAGCGACGGAGTCGCTTGCGAAGCCCAGCAAAGAGGAGCTCCTACTCATTGGAGTTTTTTTTTTGCCGCACCTCCCCACTCCTTTTCAACTTGGGAATGATTTTGTCCATCGGTGCTGTTTGACAGATTGACTGCTGAGAGTGGACGAATGATTACCTAGGTCCCCCAGCTAGATGCCTGACCTCTCACCCTTTTTTTGGTTGGGAGGGTTCCCCTACTTAAAATGGACTACCCTTATTGTAACCTTTTCTAGTGGAGGACCTAGTTGCTGTAGCGCACCTTTTGGGTGGCTGTGTCCCTGGTTGTTCTGTGAGTATGTTTTGTTCACGTGAATGTTCCTTTTGACCACCTCTGTTTCTTACACCTGCCACGTCCCTCAACCTGGTCATCAATCACAGCTTCCCCGAGTTGTGCTGCGGGTTCTCTGTCCTTTTTGTGTACTTGTTTGATGTCATTTTATTCCCTGGGCTATATCTTCTTCGCCACAACCGCAGTGAGGATTTACTTAAAAATGTCAATCCCAAAAAGGCGTTCCTTTTTCCTCGGATCGCTGGGAAACTGGGGTAGTTACTCAATTTGGTGGATTAATAGAGTGGTTTATTCCCGTCTGATCAGGGCTTCAAGAATCAACGCTAGGTTTACGCTATCTTTTGTGGCGTCCCTTTTCCACCAAACGGGAGATGGCCAAAAGTCAACAGGTAGCTCTGGCCAGCGAGAAAACATAACATCTCTGCTGTCCGCCCACGGTCTTCCATCACTTGCTCGCACCAAATCGACTGAATCAGACATTTGATCTAAGATGGTTTCCACCACCAGAACCACAACCTCCAGAGGTTGAATGAGATACACAACCACCATTCGCGCCACTATAATATGACGGTCAAATCACTTATACCCAGTTTATCTTTTGGTGGTGGAAGCCATCCTATCGTGTTGGCCCGTTTTGCATCATGATCCCAAAGAGTTTGCGCCAGGGCAACCAGTCATGTTTCTCTTCTTAGAAGTCGGGGTTGACGCAATGGCCGTGGGCTGGTTCCCTTCTGCTCAAAGGTTGCGGCCTGGGGGCCGCCAGGGAGACGTCAAAACCATCCCAAAAAATGGTCTGACATAGGCCCGTGTAGCATGCCGAGTTGAAGCTGGCTGCGCCGGGCTGAATTTTGGACAAACAATACGCGCCTCATGTGTGAGGCGAGGTGCGACCCATGATGGTGCCGGGCATGCCATGATTCGAACCAAATTCTGCATGTGTTTTGTCTTTGGGTTGGCTTGAAGGGAATCTAAAAGGAAACCGACTGTTTTTTGGGTTCACCAGTTTGAGTCACCCATGTTTGCTTGAGGGTTCTTTTTGTTTTTGTGAACTATGAAGAATCGGTCTCAGTGAATTCACCTTGGTGCTGATTCAGTCTTGCCGCTGTGTCGAGTGTCGGAAGGAGCGAGCCGAGCCGCCTCTCTGCCAAGCAGCTTGTCTCATGTTCAACGTACGAGGAAAACCCGTTCCAGTGGGTTTTTCTTGAGATGTTTGGGAATCGGATTTGCCAACAGTCCATGAAGAGCCCAGAAGGTCGACCCCGGATGCAGCTTGGATTCATAGGCCTGCAAAAAGCCTGCATGTATGAATATACGATTCCCTCCAACAAAACTATCTTTAACGCACTGCTTGCTGTTGTTGATTGCTTCTAGAAGCGTTCAGTTCCCGCTTGTTGTTCCGTAAGTAGGCGTCCTCCTGTATTGCGACTCGCTGGTTGTCCACCCGCATGCTGTTTCATGTTTCACCTGCGTGTGAAATTAAAGGTATTCCCGTGTGGAACATCCGTTTATTTGTTTTTGCGTGTCTTGGATGGTTTTGGAAGCTTTCGCTTCTCAAGGCCAAAATGGTCCATGTGTGTTGCTTTATTTTGCTTCAAGGCCAAAATGGTGAATGTCTTTTGTTTTTCTCGTGCTTTTCTTTTTTGGCTTCTGCCTCTTCAGGGCCGTCTTTTTGGTGTTCGTCTGAGGCCGGCGCCCAGATCCCGGACGAGGCCGAAGCAGCGGAGTCCGAGGAGCCGCGTGAAGTTGCCGCGTGCTCGTCTCGTTTCGCTGGGGTTGTGGCCTAGGGGTCATCAACCGCTTTTCTGGGGTTTAAAGGGGAACCAAAAGGCAAATGGTGGGTTTTAAAGGGGGGCCAAAAGGAAAGCCACTTTTTTGTTTTTCCTGAATTTGCTGGTTTTTAGAGGGAAACCAAAAGGAAAACCACCGTTTTGGGGGGTCCCGTAAACACACATCCTCTTGGCCTTGCTTTTCTGCACTTGGCCGAAGGAGCGAGGCGATCATGCTTCGCGTAGCTCCAGTGGCAGCCAAAGCATCAGCGAGCCTTGTCTCAGGACATCAGTGAGAGTAGTTGCCAGTGATTGGGGGTCAAGCAAAGCAGGTGTCAAGACTCAGGCAAAGAAAGTTGCGACTATTCGATTGCCTTTGACTCGCATTTGGATGTTCGAGCGATTATTTGTATAATATTCTTGTTTGACTCAAACAGACAGGAGCCCTTGAACAATGACTCCCAAGTAATCTCCGGGGTGTCTTAAAACAGCAAGGGAACCCTCAAACTGGTAGCTCTCCTTTTTGCGTCCCTGTACAACCGCCCCAAGGGTAGCCTCAAACAAGACGAGCTCGCATGGCTTCCTGGGCCAAGGCCGACGTGGAGCAGGTGGAGTGGGCGGAGCCACGCCACTGGCATCAGGCGGAGGACTGGTGGATGACGTGAACCAGCCGTTCTCGTTTTATTGCATTGGGATATTGTAAAAAGCCGATGCACTTGATTGTTCTGTCGTGCTGACGTGGTATGGCGTGGTCGCTGCCAAGTAGCTTCACTTGGCGTTGCTTCTGCACCGCTTGGCCGAAGGAGCGAGGCGAGCACGCTTCGCGTAGCTCCAGTGGCAGCCGAAGTATGGGCGAGCCTCGTCTGAGTAGATCGGTGACGTATTGCGGCATCATGATTTTCCAGTGATTGGTGAGCTGTGTTGCTTTGTCATTGAGATCGCCGGATGTGTGTAAAGGTTGCAAGTTCGTGCCAATTTCACCGCTTCATCAGATGGGAGCACAGTCAATTTCTCCAAGATGGATGGATGCAACAGCATGAGTGTCAAGAACAATGTTTGCAGGCCGAGAGATTTGAGGTGACCTGACTAGCAACATTGAACTCATCATATGGTTGTAGTCAGTTTATGGTTTCACCGAGAGTACCAAAAGATGGATACAATGGTCGATCCCTTTTGTGTTGGTGCCAAGGTCAGTGACGTGCAAGACCAGCAGCAGGAGGCTGAGGTGCCGGCAGAAGCAGAGACTGCGGCAGAGTCGGAGGACCGGTGAGTAACAGAAGCCACAGTCAAAACCAGGCAGGGTAATATAGGTGTAGTAGCAGTCCCAACCAGAAATAAGGGCGGCGGCCCTATTCATCTTTTTCATGTCTTTGGGTAGACCACGTTGTTACCAGGTGTTGATTGCAACTTACATATTGTGTAGTCATGTTCTGGCAATTAATATGCAACAAGCCTAGTTTGTTTGGTGGTTGATAGTCGTGGTGTTGCGTGATTAAAGCTGATTCGAGCCTCAAAAAGTATGATTAAAACCAGGCAGAGATCTGATTGAATTGAGTTTGGAGCAATCCTGTTGCGCGTTCGGATTGGTGCAAAGATGTGCTCACCGGCAAGTTCCATCGCGTGGCAACATGGATGTGCCACTTGGCCGAAGGAGCGAGGCGAGCACGCTTCGCGTAGCTCCAGCAGCCGAAGTATGGGCGAGCCTCGTCTGAGTAGATCGGTGACGTATGGTGTGTGTGTGTGTGTAAAGGCTGCAAGTTCCTGCCAATTTCACCGCTTCATCAGATGGGAGCACAGTCAATTTCTCCAAGATGGATGGATGCAACAGCTTTGTTGTCAAGAACAATGTTTGCTGGCCGAGAGATTTGAGGTGACCTGACTAACAAAATTCAACACATCATATGGTTGTAATCAGTTTATGGTTTCACCAAATATTGATGCAAAGGTCGATCCCTTTGTGTTGGTGCCAAGGTCAGGGACGTGCAAGACCAGCAGCAGGAGGCTGAGGCGCCGGCAGAAGCAGAGACTGCGGCAGAGTCGGAGGACCGGTGAGTAGCAGAAGCCACAGTCAAAACCAGAGTATTATAGGGTAGCAGGAAGCAGTCCCTACCAGAAATAAGGGCGGCGGCCCTATTCATCTTTTTCATGTCGTTGGGTAGACCACGTTGTTACCAGGTTTTGATTGCGACTTACATATTGTGAAGTCATGTTCTGGATATGCAGCAAGCCTAGTTTGTTTGATAGTTGATAGTCGTGGTGTTGCGTGATTGAAGCTGATTCGAGCCTCAAAAAGTATGATTGAAACCAGGCAGAGATCTGATTGAATTGAGTTTGGAGCAATCCTGTTGCGCGTTCGGATTGGATTGGCGCAAAGATGTGCTCACCGGCTAGTTGCATCGCGTGGCAACATGGATGTGCCACTTGGCCGAAGGAGCGCAGCGAACACGCTTCGCGTAGCTCCAGTGGCAGCCGAAGTATGGGCGAGCCTCGTCTGAGTAGATCGGTGACGTATTGCGGCATCATGATTTTCCAGTGATTGGTGAGCTGTGTTGCTTTGTCATTGAGATCGCCGGATGTGTGTAAAGGTTGCAAGTTCGTGCCAATTCAACCGTTTTACTAGGTGGGAGCACAGTCAATTTCTCCAAGATGGATGGATGCAACAGCATGAGTGTCAAGAACAACATTGGCAGGCTGAGAGATTTGAGCCGACCTGACCAGCACTAAACAAAACGTCATATGGTGGAGATGTGGTTTGCGTCTGTACTGGGAGTACCAAAGATTAATACAAAGGTCGATCCCTTTTGTGTTGGTGCCAAGGTCAGTGACGTGCAAGACCAGCAGCAGGAGGCTGAGGTGCCGGCAGAAGCAGAGACTGCGGCAGAGTCGGAGGACCGGTGAGTAACAGAAACCACAGGCAAAACCAGGCAGGGTAATATAGGGGTAGCAGCAGACAGTCCCAACAAAATTGAAGTGCGGCGGCCCTATTCATCTTTTTCATGTCTTTGGGTAGACCACGTTGTTACCAGGTTTTGATTGCGACTTACATATTGTGTAGTCATGTTCTGGCAATTTATATGCAACAAGCCTAGTTTGTTTGATGGTTGATGGTCGTGGTGTTGCGTGATTAAAGCAGATTCGAGCCTCAAAAAGTATGATTAAAACCAGGCAGAGATCTGATTGAATTGAGTTTGGAGCAATCCTGTTGCGTGTTCGGATTGACGCAAAGATGTGCTCACCGGCAAGTTCCATCGCGTGGCATCATGGATGTGCCACTTGGCCGAAGGAGCGAGGCGAGCACGCTTCGCGTAGCTCCAGCAGCCGAAGTATGGGCGAGCCTCGTCTGAGTAGATCGGTGACGTATGATGTGTGTGTGTGTGTAAAGGCTGCAAGTTCCTGCCAATTTCACCGCTTCATCAGATGGGAGCACAGTCAATTTCTCCAAGATGGATGGATGCAGCAGCATGAGTGTCAAGAACAATGTTTGCTGGCCGAGAAATTTGAGGTGACCTGACTAGCAAAATTGAAAACATCATATGGTTGTAATCAGTTTGTGGTTTCACCGGGAGTACCAAAAGATGGATACAAAGGTCGATCCCTTTTGTGTTGGTGCCAAGGTCAGTGACGTGCAAGACCAGCAGCAGGAGGCTGAGGTGCCGGCAGAAGCAGAGACTGCGGCAGAGTCGGAGGACCGGTGAGTAACAGAAGCCACAGTCAAAACCAGGCAGGGTAATATAGGTGTAGTAGCAGACAGTCCCAACCAGAAAGTAAGTGCGGCGGCCCTCTTCATTCTGTTCATGTCTTTGGTTTGACCACGTTGCTACCAGGTGCAAGCCTAGTTTGAGGGAGTGTTTGATGGTTAATAGTCACGGTGTTTCGTGATGAAAGCTGATTCGAGCCTTGAAACGTATGATTGAAACCGGGCAGAAATCTGATTGAATTGAGTTTGAAGCAATCCTGTTTCGTGTTCGGATTGGCGCAAAGATGTGCTTACCGGCAACTTGCAACGCGTGACGGCGTGGCAACATGGATGTGCCACTCGGCCGAAGGAGCGAGGCGAGCATGCTTCGCGCAGCTCCAGTGGCAGCCAAAGCGTGGGCCAGCTTTCGTGCAGACCAGTTGCGTGATTGCACCAATGCTGTTCGGCGCGGGCCCCTCATGATGTCTTTGGGCGTCCACATGTGTGAGTGGAATGGGCCAGTAGCAAGACAGCTTGCAAGAACGGTGGATGCTGAGAACGCGATCCGGCTCGACTAACAAACCGAAACGAAGGGCAAGCGTGGAGTCGGCCAGCCTCGTCGCCGGAGGTCATTTAGCTTTGCTGCCTCCAAGGTCAGCATCCCAGAGGCGTCGCAGGCGCCGCAGGAGCCGCGCGACTGGCACAAGCACAAGGCAGAAGCAGAGCTCGCGGAGTTGGAGGACTGGCATCCATCCAGCCTAGCTTGGGGCAGTGTTTGTGATGGTTTCGAGTTGTGTTATGTACCTAAAGCTGCGAACCTCAAAGCCCAAGTGTTTTCCAGGGGCTTAGGAGCAAGACCTGTGCGGTTTAGTTGGCTTGCTGTTGTGGTCGCTGCCAAGTTGCTTCGCTTGGCGTTGCTTCGGCAGTGGCCGAAGGAGCGGGGCGAGCATGCTTCGCGTAGCTCCAGTGGCAGCCGAAGCATGGGCGAGCCTCGTCTGGGCAGATCGGTGACGTATGGCGGCATCATCATTTTCCAGTGATTGGTGAGTTGCGTTGCTTTGAGATCGCCGGATGTGTGCAAAGGCTGCAAGTTCGTGCCAAATCAACCCCTTTGATACAAGGGAGCACAGTCAATTTCTCCAAGATATATCGATTTAAGAAGCATGAGTGTCACGAACAACCCGAGAGACTTGAAGCGACCTGACCAGCATTCAACAAAACCATGTGACATATGGTTTGCGTCTTTAACGGGAGTGCCAAAAATGGCATCCGCCGCCCTTCTAGCCTTCTCGCCTTTGCGATACAAGCTCGTTCTGGATTTGTTGGTGCCAAGGTCAGCGACGTGCGAGACCAGCAGGAGGCCGACGAGCCGCATAACTGGCATGATCACGATGTGGCAGAAGCAGAGCCCGCGGCAGAATCAGAGGACCGAAGGGTGTTGAATACGGCAATATGGAACCAGCCTGGTGCGGGGAGTTGCGGAGTTGTTCGCGGTTTAGCTTTCCACTTGTTGGAACTTCTTATAGTTCCCCTTTTGGTGGTTTTAAACGAGATGTTTTAGGGCCTGTTCAAGTGAGCTTCCTTCTGGTGGGTTGATGCGTAAAGGGAAAATGGAGGGATTTCTGTGTTGGGCATCCAGTTTTCGTGACGAGCTGACGTGGCAGTGCCATGGGTTAGTGCCAAGGAGCGAGGCGAAGAGTCGCGCAGCTCCGGTGGCGGCCGCAGCGTGGCCGAGGCTCATCTTGTTGGTGACGCCAGCATTTGCCGGTGAATGCCTTGATAGTGTATGGCTACTAGGTCCCCCAGTGCCCTTTTAACCGTTTTTTGGGGAAGGTTCCCCTACGAAAACAGACTACAGATCAAAGGGTACCCTTATTCTAACCGCTCTACTGGAGGACCTAGGCTATGTCAAACAAGGGGCGCCTTCAAAATGATTGATTCCCTTTGGGTTTCTCGTTAGAACCACTCCGGCAAAGGGTACATAGCCTGCAAAGAAAGATAATCCTGTATGGTGTGCTGTGTTATCGTGGTATGGTGTTGTGTTCTTGTTGTTGTTGAGATCGATGGATGTGTAAAAGCCTGTACAACTGTGCCAATGCATGGGTTTTTTGTGCCCGTCGGAAAAACATTTTGAAACGGATTGATCAAACAGCACGTGCGATTGAGCACTTGAGCTGAACGCCGATCGAATGACGAAACGTCCACCCGACATGCGAGACGAGGCTGACGAGCGTGACTGGTACGAGGCAGAGCCCGAGTCAGAGGACCGGACAATATTATGCAACCCTAGTTTGAAGGCTATCATGCATATATACCCTCCCACCAATGAACAAGGAACCTGACGATCGAGAGTCCCTTTAAAAGGGAAATAGTTTCTATGTTGAGAGTCCCTGGGATTCGTTTGAGCGAGTCAGTCTCGAGTTGCAGGGTTCCCGTGGCTTGCCTTGGAATTTCCCTTTGTCCCTTTAGAACCAAAACGCAGGTAACCTCCAAAAGCGCAAAAGCGACAACCCCCATATTTCATTTCCCTTGGTTACCCGGGCCCATTTAAAGTGAGTTTCCATTTGTTGGCTGATGTTTCAAGGGGAACTATAGGGGGCCTAGAGTTTAGTAGAATTGGTGATAACGCGTCGCCACAATTCTGGTTTGGCAACCACCGCACCGTTTTCCCACTTAAAACACTATGGCTATAGCCTAGTTACTTACAAAGTTCTAGCTGTACCTACCTCAGGTGGTGCTCAGCAGCGAATGAGGGAATGAACCTTTGCGTTAAAGGAAACCATCGGGGATGGCTTATACGGGGTCGTTCCCTCATTCCCTTCTGTGCAGGCAAGCTTTCTTTGTCAGATTGCCAACCTCCCTGACCTTTAAAGGGTTTCCCCACACGGTTGGATGAAGAAAACGGGGGTCATCAGCTTAGTGGGGGCGTTTTTGGCACCGGTTTCCCCCAGGAAGAATTTCTCTTCCAGTCAGCATCCTTCATCCCAGTCCTCTGAGTTCCCACTGTTAGCGCCGCAAGGTTCGGATCTGTTTGCTGGGCCAATCCGGTGCCATTTTGCCCAGGGATGTTGGGACTGAAACACTTTTTGAGCCAACTTTTGGATGTTTTCCGTATTAAACCACTAAAAGTTTTAAAACAAAAAAAGAAAAAACTTTTAGCGGGGGAGCAGATTGCAACCGAGAATCCTCAGGTAGCCCTTAGTTGGTGGTTTGTGGGGCGCATCTGGATTTGAACCCCCGGTTCTTGTAGAGGGCGAATAGGCAACCACCCCCCAAACAACTTTATTGGTGGCTCCCAGCCATCCCCGTAGCCTTTTAGCTTTTCAGTGTTTAGTGGTAGTTTCCATTTCACCCACTAAAAGTTAAACTTTTAGCGGGGAATTTGAGGGCAGCCCAGTTTAGATTCCACTTCCATGGAAAGGTGGTTGCTTTTTCCCGTCTTCGTGGTCCTTCCCGCTTGATCAGCATTTGAAGCTGACATTTGGAATCCACGGGGTAGAACCCTGGCAAATGGAAACATGGACTAAAACCTGCGGTTCCCTAGTGGTCTAATTCCCTGCTTCAACCCTCAACTGGCTGTGGTTGTAAACCAATGGTACCATTTTAGGTGCACCACCCATTTTAGAACCGATTTTAGTGGTTGGATTGGGATGTTCACTGGGGGTACGGGCTTTGGATTTTGACCTATAGCCATATTATGTGCAATCGTGATGTGTGGGTTGATCAAAAGGTTCTTTGGGATGACCAGTGGAAAATCTCTACAAAGAGATGATAGGGACCATTGGCGACCCTCAACTCACCCGCCCCAACCCCCCACCCCCGCCCACACCGAAGCGCTGCTCCGTAGGAGCGGGGCGAGTGCTCAGCTTCCCGCAGATCCAGCCAGAGCCTGGGGGTCCCTTGTCTGACATCCGCCGTATTGAACAACTACGTTATAATATACATTTCATTTATATATATATATATATGTATGAGCTACCACTAAAACGGTTGGTACAAGAGACATGTATTGGGGTGGAATAGGGTCCAAAACCCGCAAAGTAAGAACACGCTCCGCCATGGCATTGGCGCGCGCAGTTTCCGCGCTTGAGAACACACTCTGCGCAAACGCGCATTCGTGACCCACACGCATGATTGTGCCCATGGTAAGAACACCCGCTTACGCGCTCCGCGAGTGGCACGCGCAGTTTCAGCGCTTGAGAGTGCACTCTGTGCACACGCGCAGTCGCGATCCGCACGCATGATGGCGACCATGGTAAGAACACCCGCTCACGCGCTCCGCCCGTGGCACGCGCAGTTTCAGGTACTACTACTACTGCTATTACTACTGACTGCTACTACTAGGACTACTAGGACTACTACTACTACTACTACTACTACTACTACTACTACTACTACTACTACTACTACTACTACTACTACTACTCGCACTAGCCACTCGGACGGGCACCCGTTGGGCGGGCGCCCGCCCGTCGGGCGGGCGCCTGCCCGTCCGTCCGTCCATGATGTTCACGGCAAGGTCGCGCAACACACTGCTAGGCATGGAAGACAGTCCGAGCCAGCAATCGTTATTCTTTTACTACTATTAGTACTAGACATATACGGCTATTACTTCTACTATTACGACAAGAGCGGGAGAAACTGCACCGCGTCCTTTTTCCAAAGGCTCAAGCTTCAAAGCCGGAACTGCTCAGGGCCCTCAAACATGTTTGAAACAGCCGCGAAACGCTCAAGCCACAACAGGCTATTACTATTACAATTATTACTGCTACTAGTATTCTTATTACATCATTATTGTTATTGCACTGCTACTGCTGCTACTGCTTCTTCTACTACTACTACCACTACTACCACTACTACTACTGCTACTGCTACTCCTACTACTACTACTACTACTACTACTACTGCTACTACTACTGCTACTACTACTGCATGCCAGTCGGACGTCCATGCGCTCCACGGCAAGGCCGTGCAACATACTGGTAGGCATGGAAGATGGTCCCAGCCAGCTATTATTATTCTACTACTACTATTAGTACTGTCCGCGGCTTGCAGCACGCGCCGGCCGACCACGCCTTGGGCCTACCTGCCGGACGTCATGGCTGAAGTGCCACCAGGACTTGCTCATTGGGGAGGATCGGACTGGCCTGCTGCAACAGTACGCAAAGTACCTTGCCAAGTCGGCCTCGCAGGATTGGGCGACCGTCCTGAGCCGGTACCACCCCATGGAGCCGGAGATGGTCCTGCAACTCTTCGGGGCCAAGCTGCGGCAATGGCACTTCACCACCGTGGGCGGGGGCAAGCGCGACTTCATCGTGCCACTGCCGGAGGTGGCCGACCTCCCCGAGCGCCGCCCAGCAAGGCTCTACGAGAACGCAGCCTGGGCTCGCGGCCAGATCAACCTCCTGGACTTTCTGCGCAAGACCAGACGGGCAAATCTGCGCCTGGCTGAAGAAGCGCCACGCCGAGCAGGGCGAGCCAGAGGAGACATTGGAGGCCTTTGCCCACAGATATCGGCCGCAAGGTGAGAACGTTGTGGCTGCTGTCGCGACTCAGTGACCGCCACTACGGCCAACGCCTCGTACTCTTCAGGCCGTTCCGACGGCTGGGCGACTTTGTGAATGAAGCGCAGCTTGCCAAGGTCCCGCGGCAGCACCGCTTTCTGGCCATGGCCCTGCTCAACGGCGAGCTGCGGGACGAGAGACAGCTTGACGAGGAGCTCAAGGCGGAAGGCCACAGCCGCGCTGCCTCCGAAAGCATCAAGGCCATGATCGCGGCGAACAAGGGGTTGATCCGCGCGGTGCCGCCGCCCAAGGTTGCTGGCCCGCCTGCCGCAGCGGCGCCTGGCCGTGCGGGGGTCGTCCACAACAGTCAACAGCGGCAGTTCAAGCGCCTGCTGGACGCGGCCGTGGCCAGGTCCCTGGAAGGCCGTGGCGCTCGCGCTGAGGCAAAGGCTTTGGCTTGCACGGGGCCGCCAAGGAACCGGGAAGACGACCGTCTGCCACGAGAAGATTGCGGAGCTGCTGGGGGCCGACGGCAAGGTGCTCTTCGCGCTGCCGACCGCGCAGCCGGCCAGCCGCATGAAGGAGCGGTACGGTCGGCGCGATGGGTTGACCATCGGCACTTGCCACGCGGCCTTTGGCTTCAACGAGAACCTTGCGATCCTGGCCGCCCGTAGACGAGGTCTCGCAGCTCTCCGCGCAGCACGGCGACCGCATCCTGAAGCTGTGGGACGCGGCCGACCGTCTCCCCGCCTTGGTCTTCTTGGGCGACAAGTGGCAGATGGCCGGCTACGGCGACCAACCCGTGGGGAGAGCAACCTGTGGAAGAAGCGGGTGTTCAAAACGGACTTCCACAAGAGCTGCCGCTGCCAAGACGCGGAGTTTGAGAAGCTGCTTCAGAAGCTGAGAACGGTCAAGCCGGACGCAGCCACGCTGAAAGGCCTGTAGAAGCGCAAGGCCTGATCGCCGCCTGGCAAGCCAACGCCGGAGGGCGTGGAGTGCCTGCTCCGCGCGCACCCAGACACAACCATTGTGTCTTGCACGCGGGCGGGCGCGCTGCCAGGCGACCTTGAGTCCAACGCCGAAAACTACAGCGAAGGCGTGCTGAAGGCCGACGCAGAGCTCCAGCCGCTGGACGTCCCGATCCACAAGGGCATGGACGTTTTCTTGACCAAGAACGTCTGCAAAGATGTCGATTTTGTGAACAGGATGTTGGCCGAGGTTGTCTCCTACAATCTGGCAACCAAGGGGCTGCGTGTCAAAACTCGCACTGGCCACCTTGTGGAGGTTTGGAAGTGGTCCGATCCGGAGCGCCCGGACGCCCCCAGCTTCTACCCGATCCGGCCCGGGTACTGCAGCGCGATCTTGAAGTTGCAGGGCGCGGAGCTGGACCACACTCAGTGACGGACTTGCATACTAGTACTTATGCTAATAACTACTACTATTATGACAGGAGCGGGAGACAGGGACACCGCGCCCTTTTTCCTTCAAGCTTTTTCCGGAACGGCCGAAACAGTCCGGAAACATGTCTGGGAAAGCCCCGAAGTGCCTCAAGCCCACCAGAGGTAATTCAATTCCTATTACTATTACGATTATTACTGCTACTCGTATTCTTGTTACACTACTAGCGTGACACTGCTTCTACTGCTGCGACGACGACGACGACGACGACGACGACGACGACGACGACGACGACGACTACTACTACTACTACTACTACTACTTCAACCTGCGGATGCCTGCCTGCGGTAGCACTCTTTTATCGTTTTTGCCTGGGCCTGCAAAGCGCATAGACTTTGTCAGAACACAGCTGCTTGCGCTCGTTCCGTGGCAGAACTTGCAAGCAAACCACATACACAACACAGCCACATGAATGTTAAGCTGCCGAGAAAAATGATGATCGCGCTCTAGGGAGCAGAGCTCAGGGTGCCTTTCTCAATGGTACGGCCATGCACGGCCTCTTTCAGGGATAGAGTTTTACATGGTGCGAGAGAGTTGCAGCAAGGCGAGCTCCGCGTGTCTTTCCCAATGGCACGGCCACTTGCGGAGATAGACTTTTCGATTGTGTGAGAAGGGCCGTTGCGTTCCAGCGAAAAGAGTCCGGGCGCTTTCTTTTGAATGGCACGGCCGCTTTCGGAGACAGACTTTTGAGAAGACCGGTGCATTCTAGCGGGGAGGGCCCAGGGTGCCTTTGCAATGGCACGGCCACTTTCAGAGACCGACTTTTCGAACGTGTGAGAAGGCCCGTTGCATTCCAGCGCGGAGAGCTCAGGGTGCTTTTCCCAATGGCACGGCCACTTTAGGAGACATATTTTTTGAACGTGTGAGAAGAGCGGTTGCATTCTAGCGGGGAGAGCCCAGGGAGCCTTTCCCAATGGCACGGCCACTTTCAGAGACCGAGTTTTCGAACGTATGAGAAGGGCTGTTGCATGTCACATGTATGAATGACGAAACGGCCTCAAAAACGAAGGCGAGGCTTTATAACGAACAGGAAGTATGTTTTTGTCCAATGAGAGGCTTACCCGTGATACTTGTGAAGCCCTTTATGTGTAAATTCGGCCAAAGGTTGCGATCGGCTGTCCATCTGGGGACCCATAGGCCTGGGCTTTCAATGCATTTTTTGGAGGTCCGAGTCCCGAGCGCAAGCTACCAGGCTATGTTCTAACTGCGTGCCCATATCCAAAAAAACAATTTCAGTACATGGCTCCGACTTGGCGTCATAGGGGTTATAGTAAAAACCTACGTAAACCCAGCAGGAACCATGTGGGGCTGATAGTAAACCCTTTATAGGGTGAACCATAGGGTAAACAGTAGGGGGTAAAGCCACAAATTCCCCCTTGTCTTCATTGTGGGTGATGGCTATAACCATCAGAGTAGAAATAAATAGAAATAACAAAAACGTCGATGGGTTTTGGGCACTACTCATTTGCGACTTCGTACAGCCGTTGCTTTTTTTTGGCACGCAATTGCCGGCCTATGCTCGGCGCACGTCACGTGCATCAAGAGCGGAAAGGGGTTTTGGGCACTGCTCATGTGTGTTCAACATTGCGTCAACTCAATCAAGCACGGGCCAAATGGCTCTCTACTTTGCAGTGCCAGGGAGGATTTATCACTCCCCGAGTTCCTGGACTTTATGTTTTGTTGGGACTACCATAACAGTTTTGGCACACAGAAGGTGTTCACACTTATGATTCCAAGCCCATTCGGAGTGAGCAGTGCCCAGAGGCAAAGGGCGCGGGGACTTGGCGAGTTGCGAGCTCTCAGCTCTCCCGCTGAGGGCCTTGATGCGCCGGAGCACTACGTGATGTCCCATGCGAGCGAGCACGACTCGCAGGAGCAGCTCTAGAGTTGAAGCCAGCCGTTTTGGTAGCCCATTTTGCTCGAAGTCACAACCCTAGAGCAGGGGGTCCGAAGAAAAAGGAGCTTCTTTGAGAGTGATGGGTGTGTGGATTCCGTGTTCATCTACAGTGTACAACAAACTCGCCGAAGGCGAAAACGAGCTCACTCTGATGAAGGTCCCGGTTAAAGGGGAAACTAGCGGCGCAAGCAATAGCAATGGGTTTTCTCTTTCAACACCACTCCAATCCTTTTGCTTAGGATCTCTTTCTGTCACTCGCCGAAATGGGGAGTGTCGGTTGTGGGATTTGAGGGACGCAACGAATCATTTGTCACCAGGGCGACTGCAAAACATATGGATGTCTCTTTTGTTGAGGGTACCCTTTTTGGAGTCATTTTGCACGGCAACCAAAAAACACCACCTTTCCAAGAGTTGTTTTTTGTGTGTTTTGTCCCGTATTTTGACACAAACCCGGTCCGCCATGTGTTTCATCCAGAAACCCGCATTGTTTTTCCGAATTCTGAGGTTACTTGCTGAATCGAGCGATTCAGCTGGAATCTTTACTTCGAAGCGTTCGCCAACAGGCCGCGTTACCAGAGATCTCCAGTACAGACCTGCTAGCTGTTGTATTCTTCCATTTAATATGAATTGGCGATTGCTCGTTTGCCCCCAGTTGCTTCTCGAAATGCATATGACTGGTGTAAATGCCCATGGAAGTATGACGCAAGGTACAGAATTGAATGCACGCTCACTTACAACCTCACATGCAACTTGTTGGACCCAGTTGCAAAGAGGCCTGTGATTCTTGTCAACCCTACCCCTCAAGCCCCAAGGTTTAGGGTCTTAATCCGTTTGGGGAGTTTACGGCCAACGAAAGCTAGGTCGTGCCCTTTCTCAGTTCCCGTACTAAGATAGACTACAGCAAAAAAGTGGTACCCTTATTCCAACCTCTCTACTAGAGGACCTAGTAAGGCTGGCCTTAAAAGTTGGGTGCTCCGGCGGGCTCACTGATTTCATCCGAATGGTTCCCAACTCCTTTCGTGGGTCTCCAAGAAGTTTTCTTTCGAGTTCAGGTTGGACCAAACGGGTGCGACTTTGTTTGAGGGTACCTGGAGTCTCCATGACCCTATTGTCATTCCCCAAAAATCAGAGGTTCTGACCCCTTTTTCTAGGGATCCTGGTGGTTTTAAAGGAAAACCAATAGGAAAACCCCCATTTTGGGGGGGTGCTACCTATAAAATGAAACAGACAGAATCAGACGAGTGTATTTTATGTCTTAAGATTTGGGCCAGGGTAGCCTCCCGGAGAGACTTCAAGGGCGGCGGTAGAACCTGTGAAACCAATAGATCATACACCCCATGGACTAGTCATCTAGTCATGCGGCTTGTGAACTTAATGGAAAACCCATGCATACTGACTTTGGGTGTCCCCTGATTTTGACGCGCCTTTTTTTCTCTGGGTGGGAGGGTAGCACATGTTATCCGTGACTCTCCAGGACGACTGGATGTTCTCCAGCGCAGAACCAGCCGAAGGGCGATCCTGGTCTTCTGACAGCGTGGGCCACCGGACTGATGGCGGTTCTTTTCACATGAGCGCCATTGTGTGCCATGGTCAAACCCAAATTACTTGGTTGAAGGCTTGAACCCTTTGCTCGGTTTTCAGACCACCATTGCTTTGGTGCTTTTGGCTTGGATGTTAGGACTTTAACTTTTTGCCAACTAGTGGGTTTTCCATTAAACCACTAAAAGCTGTTTTTTTAGCGGGGGAGCAGAAAGCAACCGAGATTGTAAGGGTTCCCAATGGAACCACGACCCGCATGGGAGTTTTGGCCACTCATTTTGAGATTTAGGGCCATGTTCCAGATGGCTTCTGGTTGTGCTCCGCGCTAAACTCTGTTTAGCCCCAGGCAACGGGAACTCTGAAGCAATCAGCGCCAACGCCAACGAGACGAACTGGAAGACAGGCCGGAGCTGAAGACGAATACCAAGTTGCCAAGTGTCCGACCGGGGCTTGGTATCCCAAGGTGTCCCATACCGTGAATCCATCAGGACCAGGGCAGTTCTCCTGTTGCACCCTTGCCTTCTTGCTTGGTAGGTTCCGCAGTAGCGGTCACTAGGTCACCACCACCAGCTCATCATCATTATACATATATGACTATTTTATAGCGAACTAGTAGCGAACTCACCTGGGGGTGTAACGAGCTCACCATGACAAAGGTCCTCTACTTGGGGATCCGTCAATTCAGCTTTTGGAATTCTAGAAAAATGCTTTTCAGAATCAGTTCCCATTTCCCTCAGATTCCTTTCTTTGCCTGCCTGTTTGTACATCGCTCGGTTGGCAGAGATGGCTACGCTTGCCTGAACAAGCTTCTCTCAGGACCTGTCCTGCCAACCCGGCCAGGCATCCCTCAGCAGGTTTGTCCCGAGTTATTTCCACTTCCAATTAAAGGGTGGTGTGTTCACATCACCTGTTGGGCCAATTTAAAGTGAGTGTCCTCTTGGTGTGATGTTTTCGGGTTGGACATATAGGGAGCCCTGTTCAGGTTCCATGTTTGTGTTCGGGTTCGCATTTCCCTGGGCAAGCTGAGGAATTGCAATTCCTTAGACAGGGAGTGATGATCCGAAGCAAGAACCGCCCGGGAACTCGTACCCGGTTGGGGATGAGCCCAACTCAAGCCTTTTGGCGCTGTCTGTTTTTTTGTTTTGTTTTTTCTTTCTTTCATTTTTTTGTTCCGGAGCATCTTCCACAGTGGGACTTCAAGAAACCTCATGAGAGAGCTTGATCGGGTGGTTGCACGAACCCCAGATGAACAGACACAACCTTGAAAGCACTTTTTTAGGAAGGGAATATTCTTGTGGGACAATTTCGTGTTCCAGGTTGATCTGAAGGAGAGATATCAGCCCCCCCCCCCCCAGCGCCCAGACAGGAACGACTTGCTCTTTGGTTTGAGTCTTGGCAACGACGAGGGCGGCCCAGAACGAGCGCACCTATGAAGGGTCCTGGGGGATTCCTCATGTCCGATTTTGTGAAATATTGCGACAAGTTTGCCCAGATAAACTTGCTGGTGCGATAGGCAGGAATGAGAAATGGAATTACCCCTTACAACCGTCCCTTATGGTTTCCTCTAAGGGGACTGCAGTCAGGGTTCCGCACGTTGTGTTTATTTGTTCGGCTAGTCGTAACAAGGGATGGTTTATGTATTCCACCCTCCTGTGCACTTCTATGATCGTTGGAAAGAGAGTAACCAATCAAAAAGAACACGAAAGGCGACAAATCAGAAGCATGTGTTTTTGTGGCGAGCCAAAAGAAACAGCTAAACATCTAAGGCATGAAGCCCGACTCTTCCACTCCCGCGTGTGTTCCCATTTTGCAGGTGCTGCCATCCTGGCGCCTTGGATTGCAACGACTTGACCGGATCTGACGCCCTTTCGGTCCCGATCCCTGAGAAAAAGAAAGAAAGCAGGCTTTGGTTCCGTATTTGCCAGATACCGGTGGCAGCAAGACACTGGACACGGAGAGAAAGCACAACATATGTGTTGGAAACATATGGCTGTGGGTCAAACCAATGGTACCATTTTGGGGTAGGTGCACCACCCATTTCAGAACCTATTTTATTACGTAGGGGATTGGGATGTTCACTGGGGGTAAGGGGTTTTGACCCATGGCCATATCTTCCATCCACTTCAAGCCTGGACCTTCACGGTTTGTGCTGCGTGGGTCGGTCTTCTGCCCTTCAAAACCAGGAGAGTGATTGTGACGCTGTCGCGTTCTTGGGGCTGAAGAAAGGAAGGCCCTTCCAATTCACAAGCTGTTGGCAATTCAAATAGCTTTGTAGGTCACACGCGTCTTGCATGTGGCGGAACTGCCCTCAACGGCTGCCAAACAAGTACTGGACAATTTTGCGTTTTCCAGCCTCTTATGTATCCAGTAAGAAACAAAATGTGGAACAAAAGGCAGTGCATGACCGGCAAGTCACCTGAGTTTGCACACATCCGGCTGGGTCATATTTTTTTCGGTTAGAGGGTCACCGGAAGCTCGAGTAGATTTCAGTCCGAAGACTGCTCGGATGTTTCGACCTTGCCTCATGGGGACAGACCCCCCTCCATTACGGCCCCCTCTGTCTGGGGTCCATGACTTCCATTTGGTTAAGAATAGTTTTCTTATTTTCCGCTGTTGGTTTTAAAGGGAATCTATCACTACTGTCTTTTTGTTATTGTCTTTTTTTCTGGGGGACTTAAGCAAATGGAGGATGATTGTCATATGCCGCGATTCCCGGCTCAGAGTGCGATAGTGCAGAAACCACACGTGACTCATACCGTCCACTCGGTGACCCGATTTTGCGATGCCGGCCAACTCCGAGAAGCAGCACTTGTCCATCGTGACTCTGCATAAAGCTGGTCTCTCGAAGTGTGGACGAAATCCATTCTGCACCTAAGAGAAACTCTGGAGTGATTCGATTCCCCTGGTAAATACCAACAATGGGCTTCCCATGGTTTTAAAGTGGTGCAGGATTTCGTCCACAGTACCACGCTTCATGTAAATACCAACAAACGATGGTTCCAAGTGCTACGAAATGGGTTTCATCCATCCACATGACCCTCTTGAACCTGGGATGGGTTTGAAGTCGACAAAGGAGATCAACCAGAAGCTTCTATTTGCTGAAATGAATATGTTGGTTTTTCCCCCTGTTGGTATTTAAGGGAATCGATTTCACTGCAGGAAGTAGGTTTGTTCTTTCCAGGGGACTGAAGCAAATGGAAGTAAAAGGGGGCGCCACAGTCAAAACGACAGCCTGGCCGACGCAGCGATTCTGAGTTTCCTTTGTGGAGCGGCTGACTTCACAGCAACAAGCAGTTTGATATTTGGCGCTGTTGCCTGAGTCACACTTTACACATGGGGGCTGGGGGGGAGGGAGGGGAGGGGGAGGGAGCCCAAATAAGCCCTTATTTCGGCCCTTATTTGGGGTCTATTGGGGCTCCCTCCCCCCCCAGCCCCCATGATTTACACCTTCGGGTTGGGTGACGTCCTCGTCACTCAGTTCAATCATGGCTCGGGGATCAACTCTGCCATGGGCTTGGGCACGGCTGACCGAAGAATGAGGGTTCCACTTTTTGACTTCCCCAGACTGAAACCAAGGGGTTCTCCTTTTGTGGGGCATGAAACTTCCCCCTGGGTTTTAAGGCTAGAACCCTGAACAATGTCCTTAGGTTTGGGGGTGCCTTCTTCTGGGGCACTCACTTGAGCGAATCGAGCGGATCCGACCTGTTGGTGTCGTCATAGCAACCTTCCTCTTGTTTGCCGCAAAGGTGATCACTTCATTGTTGTTGGGAAACATTTTACATGTTTGCTTATTGTGGTTTAGTGATTGAAATCCCCACTTAACTGGTCAAATATATATATATATATATATATATATATATATATTTGCTCCCCTTCCAACGTCAACCAAGGTCACTTTTTATCTCCTGGTCCCCAAAACGTCCCAGGAGGTGCACTCACCCAGCTTGGCCTCCTTTTGGTTTTGCTTGCACAGACTCCTTTGTGAAGATCGTTCTGGAAAGTCGCCTCGCGCCATGTTTGTGAGGATACCCTCTACACAAAAGCAAGTCCACGTTTTGCCCTGCTTGCTTCCATGAGCAGGTTTAAAGCCAACTCATGAAACTGAATGTCAGAACAACAACTCAACAAAGCAAGCAACACAACCGAAACGAAGCCACAGCCCAACACAAACAAAACTGCATGCACAGACT